AGCGAGCGATATGTTTGCTGGTCACCCTTTTAATATTTAAAAAATAAATATAATTCGTGTTAGCTAGCTTACGAAACTACTTATATTAACTCAGCGATCATTCAGTATACAAAATTGCAAAGGCGCTTGGATCGAAAGCAAAATGAATTGCGTGTTAGTTTTGAATTTTTAAAGATTTCTCAAGTTTAGGTAGGTAAGGCTAAAGAAAATAGTACCTGTTTTTCTCACAAAAACAACAGGGTGAAGGTGTCAATGGTGTGCCGCGAAAATTTGCGGTGTAATGAGACGGGCCTCTCTCCAGTCTTATTCGGGGCCCATTTGCGCGATGGCATGGTACTTTTGTTTTTTGCATGAATACGCAGGGAGTGGTTGCGCGCTGTAGATTGTACAAGACGGGGCTAGAATGAATAGCTTTTTAGTTTTATTTTTAAAGTGGATAGTGATATTTATATGCAGATTTTTTTAAAACCTTATAAGAAAATATGGAAGTGTAAGAAAAATGTTTATGTACTCGTAAAAGAAATACCTTATAAGTACTTAATCATTCCAGTGAAAGTTTTTTTTCTTTATCCTATATATTTATGTTTTTTATGTAACATATACATAAAAAACATAAATAGCTGCCCGCAGCCAAGGAAACTATTCTATAGTACAGGGGTGGCCAACCAGTCGATCGCAATCGACCGGTCGACCATTTTTATGCAAAGTCTAAAGCAAATCTATCACCATCCCTAATATTTCGAGGGTATATACATGTCTTTGGCCTTTCGAAATAACCCCAGTTTTTGACATAAACATTGAAATATTTCTAATAAATATATGGCAGAGACTGTGAGTAAACCTAATCTGACAAAAGTAGGCGACAAGTATCAAAGGGACCTTTGCCACACATAGCTCTAACGTTTTCTTCTGGCCAATAAGCACTCTTTGAATCTCTGTACTTTTAACTCACAGGAGAATCCCGTAATATATAAATAATGCTACCTAACTGTAGTAAGCAGACAGGGTCACTTTCAGAGACGTTTTCTCTGACAATCTCCTGACTACGTAAACAAATCTATTAACTTTATAGTCCAGTCAAAATAGACAAAAGTTATAACTTATTCAGAATTCGCATAGAGCTAAAAATTTTGGTAGAGACGTTAAATACACCATTATAAACATAATGACAAAAATATCCTTTGATTCTACTTCTGCAAAAAAAAACAAGGTCAAACGTACAAAATTACGGTTTTTTCCCATTTTTCTCAATAAACAGTAAGTATTATCGTGAAAATAGGAAGACAAAATTTGTAGATCTTACAATTCTCTGCAAAAATTGTGAAGACACTTTTTTGTTCGATTCACCATTCATGAGATCGCGGTTTAAACAGTTGGAAAATTCATATTCTACATATTATTTTAAACTTTCATGGTCATGTATTATAGTAATATATGTTATAGTAATGTATGTTATTTATGGGATTGTTACTATGTACCTTGTTTTTAACGAGTTAACGATATTTCGGTACAGTTGCAAACGCCATGTTCAGCTGCTTCGTGATCATGGTGCTTGCAACAGTGCAAGTCTCTACCAATTATAAGAAACTTCAGCTCTGTGTGAATTTTGGCTAAGTGAAATGTCTAGTTTGACTAGATACCTTGTCAACATGATTGTGAAATTTAGACTTTCGTTCAATAGAATTTCCAAGAATGTGACTATGTCAGCCTTTTCAATTGTTATATCGTGATAACTAATGTTGGCGCCATTACTTGAGCGCATTTCTACATTAAAATTTACATAGTTAGTCTTCCTAAAATTAACGTAAAAAATATTTGCATCAAGATATTTAATTATGTCCATTTTTTTGTTATTAATGTCATTTTTATGATCACCAATGTCAATATAGTAATCAGAGTCAACAATAACTGAAATATCATCAGCAAACATTATAATATAGTTTTTCTGTCTCTTTTGGCAAATCGTTGGTATACGCTAAGAATAAAAGGGCCCAATACGCTACCTTGCGGTACTCCAAATCTGATCAGTTCACAACTACATATATTCACAAACAACAGTCAAGATATGCCATATAACTTACGGCATAATTTTACAACTGTCGTAAAGCCAATTATTCAAAAATAATGACAATTTCTGGCTTCACAGTTTTGTATGAATATACTTTATGAAGCAAGTAAAACTTTTACAATCATTAAATAGTAGAAAAAGTTCTTCCTCTGCTGACAATCGAACCCGGGCTATCCGAGTAGCAGATGAGCTTTCTACCACTACCAGTGAACCGCTTATTCCTGCGGTCTGATTTTTTTTAATACCAACAATTAAAAATGTAATGCGACATTCTAAAGATGAACGAAAAAATATGAGGCGGTTTAATAACAGTTTATATATATAATGTACGATGTAATATAAGTTTTAAATAAAAAAAATCACATTAAAATTCGATTTCATCATCGTCGCTACATTCATAACTCCAGCCAGCTTCAGCCTCAGTTTCTCGTGAAAAGAGGTTACTGCCGGATTTTCAGATGAGGGGCAATATGGCAGAATGTCGAGATTCAAGACACTCATCGAGAATGATGTCAGCTTTCATCAAAAAAAATTAAACACTACTAAAATATGCACGCCGAACAATCTGTATCTATAAGTTAAGGTAGGTAGTGACAGATCAACTTTTTCATCCATTATAATATTATAGTGCGCAAGTTTGTCTCTCTGCCTGTCTGTTACATATTAAAAATATTAAAAATAAAAACAAATAGCGAAATTCGTGTCGTGGCTGACATGCTATTCAATCTCAACGCGTTGTGGCAATGAAGAAAAACCATGACGCGTTCTGAGCATTCATTGTTTTAACCATATCACGACGGACAGGTTGTAAGTTGATAGAGGACGTGCAGCACCCACCTCCGTGGCCGAGTGGTTTGTACGCCGGGTTTCATGGTGTTGCCGACTCGAGAGGTCCCGGGTTCAAATCCCGGTGGGGGCAGATGTTTATGTGATGAATACGCGCATTTGTACTCCAGTCTTGGATGTTTAATATGTATTTCTTTATAAATATACTTATACACACATCAAAAGTGTCTAGGGATCAACATATATTTTTGCAATAACTTTTCTCCTGATTGATATTAATTAAAATTTTCTTTAAGGATTCATCAAATAAAGTGTTTTCGTTTGTCACAGTAACGATAAACCAAGTCACCTTTGCATTAATAAAGAAATTTGCCATTTTCCTAATAAAGGGATTTTTGACATTTGAACCACTAACACAAAAGTTCGAAAAAAAGACTGAAATAACAGTTTTCTCTAAAATTTTATTGGGTAACTTAAACAATTAATAATCCGTATTTCTACCGCGAACACTAACAACACAAGAACATCGGTTTGGCATACTCAAAATGAGTTCATCCAAATCACGCTGTGGAATGGCCGCCCATGTTCGTTGCAACAACAAAAAAAGGTCTTCTTGCGACTGGATACCCTCCATATTCGGCAGAGCTCTTCTCTGTAGCATATCCCATGCATGCTCAATCGGATTCAAGTCTGGCGACTGAGCAGGCCAGGGCAGGACATTGATGTTAGCTGCGGCGAGAGTCTGTCTTACAACTCTTGCGGTGTGCGGTCGTGCATTATCATGCATTAACTGAAATAAGGGACCGATTTGCACTTGTAGAGGAACGATGACGTCTGATACAATCGTCTCAGCATAAATTTGAGCGTTGAGGTTGCCTCTGATCCAAATCAACTCAGTTCTTCCGCCGATCCAAATACCCGCCCATACCATGATGGTTCCACCACTATAAGGATGGACTTCCTGGCAGGATTTTAATCGCTGTTGGCGTCCAGGGGTTCTCCAGTGTCGTATACGTCTTGTATCCGGTCTCATACCAAAACGAGACTCATCAGAAAAGCACACGAAACGCCATTGTTCTTCTGCCCAATTTCTGTGTTCAAGAGCCCATTGATATCGAATCCTACGATTGTGCATTGCTATAGGTGGTACCCGTAGCGGTCTTCGGGAATGAAGGTTCACTTCATGCAAGCGGTTTCTGACTGTTTGGTCGCTAATTAAGTTCCCTGAAGAGTGATGAAGCCTCACGGCTAACATCATGGCGGTTATTGTTGGAGCTCTTCGAGTTAAGCTTTGAATGTATCGGTCTTGTCTCCGTGTGGTGCAGCGATACCGTCCTCCATGGCGCTCAGCCACGGTACCAGTGCTTCGGTATCGTGTCCAAAGTCGACTGATAACACTCTGACTTGTATTCAGAGCTAAAGCCACAGTACGTTGCCGGGAACCAGCTTCTATCATTCCCACGGCTCTGAGCATTTCTTCCCTGCTTAAATGACGTCGCCGCTCCATAATAACGTTGGTTTTAATCAGTAGTAGGGAAACAGTAGCACTAATAATGTCTTCAATGCGTTGTATGTTTTTATAGGGAAAATATTGACAGCTGATTTTCACCTTTTACTCGAATTTGATTCACAGTTCCTGATTCAAATTATGAAATGCACCAAAAAGGATCCATATAAATTTATAAAATCATAAATTTATTACAAAGCCACATCTCAATCTCAAGAAATCCGCATAAAAATGCTTGATCCCTAGACACTTTTGATGTGTGTATATGTTCAGTACATATACATATATGAGTATATTTATATAGAAGTACATTCAATCCGTTACCCTAGTATCCCGTAACACATGCCTTACAGTACTTACTTTGGGGCTAGGTTAATTGGTGCGAGTGTTGGAAATATTATTAATCATAATGTGAATATTCTATAAAGGTATTTTTTTTGCTAAATAACGTACGTTAATTTTCTTACAACGATATAATAATTTCATATAAGGAGATCAATTTGAAATTGTTTATTTCCTAAATATAATTGATGTAGAATAATAATACTAATTTAATAATAATAACAAAATGTAAACATCATCTTTATTCAAAATCACGTCCAATAACAACATTATTAAACTATATAAATATTTTATTTTGTTCAAGTACCTTCGAACTGATAATATTGCAAATACCTACTAAAATTTTTTATAGACAGAATTGTGGTAACCGCAGACAAGTCACTTAATAAAGAAGAGGAATCTATCAGCTGTTTACTTTTATTTAAAACAACGAAATCACCATTAAAAAATACTATAGGGCGTATTTAACCGTCGATGATTTTGATTCGTCCATCTGTGACTACGTTCAGAGGGGAGTGTTTCTTGATGTAAGTAACAAATATGTTTTGATCTCTGCCTATGATTTGGACGTTGCGCTTGTGGTCTCTGAACATCTGAAATGATAAAACTCATTATTATTAAAAGTATTTTTATTAAAAGGTCCTTTCATCAACATTTTTAAATCTACTGCTTAATTTTTATATTCTGTGTTAGTGAATGGAGTTCTACTTAATAATAATAAAATTATGTCTTCTTTTACTAAAATATCCTATCTTCAATATTTAATATACTTTCTCTCCGTGTAACAAAGCCGTGGGACGCCCTGTATAGCTCTTTTAAATCGTACAAAATTCTTTTCTCCCACCAGTTCAGGACATCTTTTAGCTGACAAGAAGAACAGGCGAAAGAAACTTCTTAGCTTTATATAGCATGAAATGCGGCATTAACATAAAAATATGCCATTACCAATAAAACATTATAATTACATTTTTAATATTGTCTTGTGAAAGATAACTTTATTGAGCAAAGGAATAGTGTGAATATTCACCATTCCTTTGAATACGTATTCGTTAAATACATATTCCAACAACAAATCATGTTTTATTTTTCATACTGTCAAACTGCAAATTGAAAAACTGAGAAATACTTTGAGACAACTCCCACAACATGCCATTAAAAAAATTAAGAATTGAAAATCTACGACCTTCGTGACTATAAGTGGTATGTGCACAGGTTTTCAAGGTGTCGCGTACTTACAGGTCCTAGGTTCGAATCCCGGTGGGGTAAATATTTGTGTGATGAATACGAGTATTTGTACCTAATTCATGGATGTTTATGACGTATTTTTAAATTAACAATATCCCATAACATAAGTATTTCAGTGCTTACTTTGGGACTAGGCTAATTGATGTCTGTTTCTAAATATTTGTTATTATCATTATTAATTGAAATACTTTTTAGGTTGTACTTACTGTGAAACCATCCCCTCCATCGGACAAATACGTTGGCGCAGTGACTTGATAATACTTGTCAGGGTCCAAGGGGGCGCCACTGTCCTTATCTCCCACATTCACTGACGACACGCGCTGGCCTTCGGGCATTGAGATGTTGTACGTAACTTGTAAACCTGCAATATATCAACCGGTTAAAGCAACGGTTACTTTCAGTACATACTGCTTAACTCAAAGTTTGTATGTTCAAATCTAAAGAAAATTTTACTAGAAATAATTTCACACGGACCAGGCAGTATAACTAAAATTGTTATAAATATAACTATAATAGCTTTTTCTTCTTTCAAATGTTCAATACTTGTAAAGGTATTCATTTGGCATTGTGAGTTACCTACAATGGGTAGAGATGGCGCTGTCTAGCAGGCTAAGAAATGCTGAAGAAAATTCGACACGGACAATTAGGGCCGCCGTAGTATAATGGTCAGTGCATCCGCCCGGATAGCGGAGAGTGCAGTTGCAAGTCCCGTCTGATGACTGGGCAGCGTGAATTTTTTTTAATACAATTTTCTTTATTTTAAAAAGTGTCAATTCAATTTTAAGTAAGACCTCAGAACTAGAACTAAAGCCCTCTAGACATTAGGTAGACTACCTGCAATATTTAGTTTCAAAACCAAGCTATGAAGCTTTACAAGAACAAGCAGTCTAGCTTAAACGCTAGTCGTGATTATTATGTACTAGCGGCCCGCCCTCGCTTCACTTCGGTGTAGAGCTGTAATAAGTGTAGACGATAGTTTTTGTTCTCAGGCTTGTATTATACACAATGACATTCAACTATGATTCTTCTTATACCTGCATGCAAAGTCTCAGCCAGATCGATTTGAAATTGTCAAATTTTCATTCAAACTTTCTTTCCCTCTATCCCCTTGGGGGTAGAATTGATCAAAATCCTTTCTTAGCGGATGCCTACTGCATAGCTATAACTGTCACGTGCTCAAATTTAGGACCCACTTTCATGAACATTAAATATAGTTGATAGACGCACATGGAATACAGTCGAAATCTACAGTTAAAAAAGTTTTCTCGCATAAACTGAGCATTCTATCAAGTGGCGATGCCTAATGCATCACCATAGCAATACATTTAAATTGACATAATTGATCATAATGTGTCTGGTCGCTGAACAATGTTTAACTTAAAAAGGATCCTCTATATGGATACGTGACTGTAATAACTCATAATTTTAATTGATAAGAACTTCGTAGCGTAAGTCGCTAGCATTGTTCTTGACTGTTTGCAATTTCTTTATATTGTTCACCCATCTGACACGAATTAATAGCTTCAGTAGTTATTGCGCGATCAAGTAACAACATACAAATAAAAACACATAAACATACGACCAACCATCCACCAACCATCTACCAAAAAATATAATCAAAATTATATTTAGTCCGTCAGTTAGGTTGAGGAGCTCGACGGTGCAGTTGGTTAGCGCTTTCGGCTGCGATCGTTGAAGTTAAGCAACTTTCGCAGTGGTCGGTCATTGGATGGGTGACCAAAAATCTTCTATATCCGTTGATCGCGGCTGCATCTGCAGTCGTTAGCACCCACCAATCCGCACTGGGCCCTCGTGGTGGGTCATGGCCCAATCACCCTATTTCATCTATAGGAAAGGCCTGTGCCCCAGCAGTGGGGACATCAATAAGCTGATGATGATAATGAAATATACAAACTTCCACTTTATAATATTCGTGGGATAGTAGAATCACGATTACCTGACAGTTGCAACACCCAAGGTCCCTTAAACGGGCGCCTTCCCCATACGTCTCTGACGCTCCTTTCCAGTACTCCTACTACGAACTTTCCTTGCAATTCGAACAATTACAACCCGACAAGTTAATAGTAATATTACCTAACTTGCGGCCGCCCGCGACTTCGTCTGCGTTAACCTTAATTAGTGTTCCGTACCTCAAAAGGAAAAAACGGAACCCTATAGGATCACTTTGTGGTCCGTCCGTCTGTCAAGACCGTTTTTCTCAGGAACGCGTGGGGGTACCAAACTGAAATTCATATCTAATACTCAGGTCTAATGTGTCCTAAATGTGTCAAAACAATCAAAAGATACAGCCGTTTATGCCGCTTTTCGAAACTCTCACGGGAATCAAAACCTGCAGAGTACTTCCCTTGAACTTAGAATCTTGAAATTTAGTACGAAGTAACGTCTTATAGTACAGATAAAGGAAAAATTGCGAAAACCGTAAATTTTTAGTTACATCATATAATAAAAAATATTTTTGAAAATTCAGGTTTGTACGGAACCCTCGGTGCGCGGATCCGACTCGCACTTTGTTTTTGAGAAAACCCACGGCAAGCTAACATTTGCCGGGATAAATTCAAAAACTATATGCTTACTAAATTTCAACCAAATCTATTCAGTAGTTTTTGCGCGGTCTCTAGTAATGGATCATATACACTCCGACACTGACACTCGAAACAAATGTCGACACTAGTGTAGATTGCGTCCACACAGTAAGCCAATTTCTTGTGTCGTCATTCGTGTAAATATTAAAATGTCCCGGTTCAAGTGTATTGTCTGTCTGTCGCATGTCCGTCGTCTGTGATTCCGTCCGTGATTGTCTGTCTGATAGAGACAGTCGATGTACACACTAACACCCTTATTAATAAACGAAGACTACGCCTGGCTTAGTTACTCCACGTTTAGTCTCTATCTATTGAATGACAAATAGCATTTGAGTGACATGAACAAAACACGACTCAACCTGTCTAAACTTATTCCTTGTTTATTATTAAGGGGGTAAGTGTTTAGTGTCTGGTGACCCGTCTTTTCCAGTGGGCACTTTGGGCAAGTGCCCAGGGTCCCGTGATCGATAGGTGGGCACCTAAGATCACAAATACAAAGTCCCTAGTTCTTGTTAGATCACCAAACGAGGGTCATAGGGGCCCCATTATCCTAATATGCCCAGGGCCTTTAATAGGTCAAAGACGGCACTGGGTATCGTCATGTATTCTTACCATAACCAACTTATAACTAAAAAACACACAAACATATAAACTTTCACGATTACCTGACAGTTGCAACACCCAAGGCCCTTTGAACGGGTGTCTTCCCCACTCGTCTCTGACGCTCCTCTCCAGTGCTTCTAATACGAATTTTCCTTGCAACTCGAACGATTGCATCCGGTCGTTGAACGGTAACAACTCGAATACGCTACCCTGAGTTATGACTGGAAATTGGAAATTAAAAATTAAATATAAAAAATAAATATTTCCAACACTCACGCCTATTAGCCTAGCCCCAAACAAAGTAAGCACTGTAAGGCTTGTGTTATGGGATACTAGGGTAACGGATCGAATACATAATACATATATAAGTATATTTATATAGAAATACACATTAAACATCCATGACTGGAGTACAAATGCTCGTATTCATCACACAAACATCTGCCACAGGGATTTGAACCCGGGACCTCTTTGAAACCCGGCGTACAAACCACTCGGCCACGGAGGTCGTCAACTGTGTCAATAGTAGTCACTTATTGATCGAATTCTTCTATCAATGAATGTAATAAAAAAGGATAGCTTTTTTCTCAAACAATTGACTTGTGTAATCTTAAGGGTTTGGGATTTAAACCTAAGAAAACCACATGAATGCAATAAATACTTTACTTTTGATTATATTTGTGTCAAACGAGTGGTAATTTGAGTAGTGTTTATTTAATTCTTTTAATGTAATTAATGGTGAGCAATAACTATTGGAGCATTCGAGACTAAACGGCTCAGCTCAGGTCTTCCGAAGTTCGAAACAGCTCGAGATAACAAAATGGCCACCGATCCTATGAGCGGTTTTTGCGAAAGTTGCTTAACTTCCACGATCGCAGAGCAAACGCACTACTCATCACGTCATCGAGCTTCATCGTGACAATATAACAACTTATTATAGAGACTTACCGCCTTGATTAATTGTGGATTTTATGTTTCCTCTTTGAACGAATGATATATGATCCAAATCCGTCTTCAACTTTTCTTTACTCTGAAAAAGATAAATTTAAAATTCAAGAAATCTTACAGCCGTACTCAATAACGTCAAATTTATTTAATGATTCATAGATATGTACATGCTTCATAGTACATAACCGTACACAATAACGTCAAATTGATTAAATGCTTTATAGATATATTGATATACTTCATACTACGTAGCAGATTTTCCGCTCGGATTGGAGCGCTACAATAAAAAAACCTTTGTGTTTCTGTCAGTGAGTAAGGTACCAGGGGGCCAATCGCCTAACTGGATTGCTTTGGAAAACGCTATCGCTTACGATTTCATTTTGTTATTTCTAGCCCCCTGAGGTTTTCAAATGCCTCGCGCTCTTTTTTTTTTCTTTTGCATTGGTAATAACAATGTTAAAGAAAATGAGCGTGAGGTATTTCGGCGGTTAGAAATAACAAAATGAAATCGTAAGCGATAGCGTTTTCCAAAGCAATCTGGTTAGGCGATTGGCCCACAGGGCTCAACGGGGTAGGGGATTGAGTCAAGGTTAGGGTTACCATCCATCCCGATAAGTCCGCACATGTCCGGAAGTTTAAACTATAGTCCGGACTTTGTCCCAATCTTTAAAATGTCCGTACTTTTTAAATTACATTGAATATGAATAATAAAAGGACATATTGATTTAAATACCATACCATTGTAACTAAGTGAGTAATGGTACCATTTTGTGACTAAAAAGTCCGTACTTTTTTCGAAATGTCAGGACTTTTGAAATTCCTAAATGGCAACCCTAGTCTGGGTAGGCACCGGTACGAGTGATATTTTTAGTATCGCAAGCTTCTATAGACTATGGCAGCCGCTTAACATCATTTTTACCACCCTTTTGAGATAAACAGTCGCTTGTTGCTGTATTCTATTGTTAACGCAATGAAAGCTACCATGTCAACTTTGATCAAGCTTAAAAGTTAAATCACGTCTCTGAGTACAGCTGTCATTTTTACTACAATTTCCATTTTTACGCAAAGTCTATCATCTCCCGGATGATATGCAGCCGGAAGATAGTCACTGGCTAGTGAATGGGAGTATCGGAATCATCTCGCACTTCGTTTGGTCGCACTTTAGACGCGACCAAATGTATACCAAATGTGTGAGCACCTAATTCAGCCAATAGGCATCCAGTTCCCGGCCAAGTATAGCTACGGTACGGTGGAAAGACGCATGCTCCCAGTGATTTTAAGTTGGGCATCTATCGTGCACAAGATGCAAGGCTGTACGGTAGACCACGTGTACTTAGGGTACTTTTGCGGCTGGACGGACAGGCATATGTGGCCCTTAGTAAAGTAGTGGTCTCCAGATTGAATAGCTAGATTGCTAAGCTAAGCTCACAGGTAAAACACCATGCAATACAGACGCACTGGCGAAGATGGAGAGGATGCGGGCTCATTCGCCTACTTAAAATAAATGTATGAATGTTAAAAATATTATGCTACCGCGGCCCTGACGGCCGTGTCGAATTTTTCTCTAGCCTAAGGCTATCTTTATATATATAATTCTTCTGTGAGTGTGTATGTCACTGAACTTCTCTTAAACGACTGGACCGATTTTGATGACATTTTTTGTGTGTGTTCAAGGGAATCTGAGAATGGTTTAGATTCACAATTTTGTCCGCTGGACAACTAGTGTATATAATAAAAGATCTACGATTAATATCACAAATTTAGTTACTATACTCACGAATTGGTTCTGTGAGTCAGTCAAAGCATCCCCCAAGGCACATTCGCCGAAAACACAGTCTTCAAAGTATAGAGTGGTCTTTGTTTCTCCAATAGGAACATTCTCCGCATCGTGCACTATTTTAGCCAGTGGCGCCAGTTTCGCCTTTATCTCCTGATCTATAAAGCACATTTTTCGAAATAAATTTTAATCACATTGCAATGACATGCTGAATAAATTAACCTAAGTATTTTATTAAATCATAATAGAGATATAAAAGTGGCATATTAAGCCACAAAACGACAGTTGCTCAATTGACTTAATAAGTCGTACATTTAGCAAAATAGATCCCAAAAACAGTTGAAGAAAGACTGTCTGTACTTTTAACAGGAGTTTAGCGTGATTTCAGTTTAGTTTTATGATAATTTACTTTATCGTTAATTCACTATCTTTTCAGCCGCGGAACCAACCATTAATGAATAATGTCATTATCTAAATATATTTACCACTTACCTTCATCTATAGATCTGTCCAAGAAAATGGGACCGCCATCCCATTTGACGTAGTCGCCTCGGAAATCGAAGTAGACTGATAAGTTACCCATGTATTTGGTGAATGCTGATGCTTGCACGATCAGTGTCTGAAATGTCGTTAAAACTGGTATGAATCGAGATGGAGATGACGTAGGATTCATTACCTTAATTCGTGTAATGTCGAAGAACAAATATAAAGAGTCGATGCATTGATTTATTAAATTATATTTCTTTAATGTAATGTAACCCAAAGTCTTTGGATGCAACTGTGCTTACACAATCCACGCAGCTGAAAAAGTACACGCCGCATTTAGAATAATTGGACGTAGTTACGCGAAAACGTTCCAACCCACAAGTCACTCGAAAATGAGTTACCATAACCAGGGTACTATTTTTGCCATATTACATCATGTGCACACAAAGATGCTAGTATTTTTAAGTTAGTTTCATCAATAAAGTTTAACCCAAATGTTCCAACCCACCATTATGCCAAGGACGTGTACTCAAAATAAAGTAAAAACATTACATGCATACTGAAACATATTGTTAAAAACTCTTAATAGAATAACATATCGTTATAATGTTCCACTTGTCTTGGAACATTATACTAAATTCATAAAACGCACATTTAATGGTTTCTTAAATGATCCATGTGGGTTGGAACGTTTTTGCAAAATCTTTATACATTTTTTATTTCTGCAAAAATGTTCCATGTAATTTGAAACCTTTTAGATTAATCCATACTGTTTTTTTAAGCTGCGAACACTGTTCTAAATAAATTGAAACCTATTATTATAATATATTATTTTAAAATTTTTAGCTATAAACAATCCACATATACTTGATCCATTTTTGCTATTAAATATGTTCTAGAGAAAAAGATATTTTTTACCAAAATAAATAACTATGGTATATTTGGACGTAGTAACGCGAAAATGTTCCAACCCACAGCAACCCCAATTTGCAATTTACACACTTTTTCCCTGTAATTATTTCAGGCAAATACTATTGGTTTAACTATGGAATGCCAAACTGATTATTGAATGATATGCATATTTTTTGTAAATACATAATACAAGGAGCATATAAATAGGTAAAACGAGTTTGAAATGTTTTTGCTAAATTAATTTTGTATGAACCTTGTTAAATAGCAATTATGCATAAACTTTCCAAAACGAATTTAAGTGTATTATTTTATAAAAATAAACCAAAAAGAAATATGTAAAATAATAAATAACAATGAGGAACATACAAAAACAACAAAAAAATATATTTGAAAATGTATTACAAAAAAATAGAACGTGATCTTTTGAGCTTAGAACCTATGCCAAAAATTTGTTGATATGGTTCCAAAAGTTATCAAAAACTTATATTATAAACATTCAATTTTCATCATCGTATTCTATGATCTCGAAGTCCGGAACTCCACCAAACCCATCAACATCATCAGTGCTTCTTCAGAACTTTGAAGCGTTCTATAAAATTGAAGGCAATCCTCGGGTATGTAGTGGTACATGGATTGTAAGTCCACTAATTTCGCTGGAGCAATCGGTTTGTCGTTAGGCCACAATAAGCAAAAATCAGATTCTTTTATGTATTGCAGTTCTCGTTTTATTCTTTTATCAATTTTCAACTCATTGAAATCGTCTTCCATCGTAGACCGCATAAAAATAGAAAACATTTTATCTTTATCCAACTTAATTTCTTTTGTATGTAGCCAACTAACTTTAGATGAGTCTGTAAACTTCTTCCTATTGATAATCTTCTTTTCCAGTTTAGTTGTACTAAAAAAATCAGTCTTTGTCATTTTGTAAACTTGAAGAGGTTTAACTTTTTTACTTAGTTCTACAATAGTGGTATCCATAGTGCATTTAATGATACTGGGCATTGTTATGTATTGGTAGAAGGAGAGGTAGAAGAGGTGCACAGGAAGTGGATTGCCTTCAATTTTATAGAACGCTTCAAAGTTCTGAAGAAGCACTGATGATGTTGATGGGTTTGGTGGAGTTCCGGACTTCGAGATCATAGAATACGATGATGAAAATTGAATGTTTATAATATAAGTTTTTGATAACTTTTGGAACCATATCAGCAAATTGGCATAGGTTCTAAGCTCAAAAGATCACGTTCTATTTTTTTTGTAATACATTTTCAATTTTTTTTTGTTGTTTTTGTATGTTCTTCATTGTTATTTATTATTTTACATATTTATTTTAGATATATTTATAAAATAATACACTTAAATTCGTTCTGGAACGTTTATGCACAATTGCTATTTAACAAGGTTCATACAAAATTAAATTTAGCGAAAACGTTTCAAACTCGTTTTACCTATTTATATGCCCCTTGTATTATGTATTTACAAAAAATATGCATATCATTCAATAACCAGTTTGGCATTCCACAGTAACACCAATAGTATTTGCCTGAAATAATTACAGGGAAAAAGTGTACCGCTAAAACACAAAATTGCGTTTATCTCAAAATGGGGTCGCTGTGGGTTGGAACGTTTTCGCGTAACTACGTCCAATTTAGATGTATTATTATGCAAAGACTATATTACAACCTATTACACCTTCATAAATCAAGAAATTATCTCATGAGTTATCTCATATTAAAGTAATTTTTCAATTTGAGTACTCTGTATATAATGCAGGGAGAAATAAATAGCCCTTGCTGAGTTTCTTGTCGGTTCTTCGCAGTACAAGGTCTCTCGCCGTAGATTTGCGAACCGATGGCGTAGCTTTTCGACATTCACAAGTGTTTGTAACAGCCTAGACTGAATAAACGATATTGAATTTTGTTTTTTTAAGTAGTCTAGTATAGATGGATAAGTTTATAAATAATAAATATTTCCAACACTCACACCAATTAGCCTAGCCCCAAAGTAAGCACTGTAAGGCTTGTGTTATGGGATACTAGGGTAACGGATAGAATACATATACTTTACATATAAAATATTATTATATAGAAATACATATTAAACATGACTGGAGACTGGAGTACAAATGCTCGCATTCATCACACAAACGTCTGCCCCCACCGGGATTCGAACCCGGGACCTCTCGAGTCGGCGACACCATGAAACCCGGTGTACAAACCACTCGACCACGGAGGTCGTCATTATAAATATTTCTACAACGAAAAAATACACGGAGGTCGTCATTATAAATATTTCTACAACGAAAAAATAAATACCTTGTGCTTCTTATTAGCGCTGGGTTCTATGAACACAGGGTATGGACCGACTACAGTCTCGTTACTAGGCGACGGCCCGTTCCACAGGAGAGAATGGGAGTGCCCACCCACAATTATGTCTATGTACTGTCCGTAGTCGCGAGCCAGCTCTCTGCAATAGAATATAGAAAATAAGCCTTGATTCATTGCCCTTGTTTTCGTCAAGGTGTGAGAAAATTGCCGACTTATGGGAAGAATTCTTTCTTACACCTAATAGCTCGACGGCGCAGGTGGGTCGGCACGTTCGGCTGCGATCGTTGAAGTTAAGCAACTTTCGCAGCGGTCGGTCATCGGATGGGTGACCAAAAATCTTCTATCTCGAGTTCCTCCCTGCTTCGGAAGGCACGTTAAGCCGTTGGTCCCGGCTGCATCTGCAGTCGTTAGCACCCGCCAATCCGCATTGGGCCGCGTGGTGGGTCATGGCCCAATCTCCCCATTCCATCCATAGAGAAGGCCTGTGCGCCAGCAGTGGGGACTTAATAGGCTGATGATAATGTTTTTTTTATATTTATATTTAGTAGATAGTTTACATCCCCTTTTATACAATATTAAAAATAGCTACGTCGAAAAAATAGTAAAGTGTTTAAAAGATGTTAAAAATAGCCACTTTGCACAGGCAGTTTAAACACTCGCTATTTTGGAAAGCCTGAATATTACGTCACTATACATTAAACCTACAAACAAGATCAATGACCTTACAATACATTGTCATTTTGCAGTCATAGTGGAACGCGGCTTTGATATCTACACTCGCCTCAGAGTATTGGTATATGCTCTGAGACACTCGCACTATAATCTTGTTGACATTTGCATATCTTGTGAAAATCACGTTTGTTTGTTGTTAATTATATATTTTTACGTCACAATAGCTCTCGTCGCGTTTTATATTTGAATTCAAGATCAATGACCTGACAAGATACTGACATTTTTGCAATTTTCATTAAATAAAAATTTGCACTCGCTGTCCGAATGGACAGCGAGAATGGCTCTGCCTTGACATCTACACACTCGCACTGTAATCTGGTTGACATTGGCATATCCTGTGAACATTACGTTAGAAAGAATTTTTTCCCTATCAATTAAACATCAATTTCATTTGAAAATCTTATATAGGAATTCAGGGGCAGAACATTTTTTGGAACCTCTTTAACTAACCCAAAAACAGTCCGACCTTACTCCAAAGTTCCCTAGGTAAATAAACCCAGAAATGACGCAATGCATAAGACACTTTCCTTATTCTCTAAGACATATTCATCTGACATTTAACTAAAACTTTAGTTGTAAAATGGGACTGAGTTACAACAGGATAATGATTTGACGACCAGAACAATGAGCAAACAATGACTCGTATCCTGTATTAACTTGCGCCCACATAATTCCATTATTCAATCACTTAAGATGAAGAGAATCTCCCGCAGAGTCGGAGCAAAATTGATTCTGTTGTGTCTTATATTTTACAGCTCCGCATGGTACAATCCTTTAGGCTGCAAGTATCCAAAAAGTACCTATTTGAAAATGTAGTTTGTGCTCATGCTTTAATTCCAGTTATAACCCACAGCATTTTTTCTCTTAGATTAAGCGGAGTGGACGTTATCGAGAAAAAATTGAAGGTTCTGTACAGTGTAGATACTACCGATATCACTCGAACTTGTGTGAGAGATATGAACTGAGATAATGCAAATAAATAAAAGGTTAACTAAATCTACAGTTGTGTGCGTAAACTGATAGTACTATCAAAAACTCTTTTGTTTTTTTACGAAATCTTTCTGAATGAATAAAATTTTAAAAAATCGTAATAAATTGATTATAACTTTTTACCTGATCGATTATTATACGCATATACGCTCTGTCTCGCTCGCTCGAGTGTCCCACCCGACATATTGTTGGTTAACAGCGTAGCTTCCACGAGAGCGCTCACCGAAACAGTGCTGGTCGGGTGCCGGGTGGTTCAGGTGCGCTATGACCTTTACATGGGACTTACTTGTCAATATCCAAACCGCAGTGTGACAGGAGAACAATGATATCGACACCTTTGTCATTCAACGCTTGTGCCTCCCGCCGAGTCGCTTCCCTAGGGTCCGTGAACATCACATTACCGGGTGATGACAGTTTCTGAAATAAAAATAACATTTCTTTAACAAATTATGTTTTATCTGCCAATACATGCAAAGGCTCGATTTGTTTAAATTCTTAAATAAAAATCCAATCAAATTAGTAATTATTACCGCAGTATCGGTCGTGATTAGCCCAATGATTCCGATGCGGCGTCCCTGTCTCTCTACGATGACGTGTGGTACATACAACCCTTGCAGGGACGGCTCCTTCGAAGAGTCCATGTTGGCAGCGACCACAGGCGCTTTGAGGGCAGACAGGTACGGAGCCAAACCCTCGGGGCCGTCGTCGAATTCGTGATTTCCGATAGCCTACGAGAAAATATCGAAAAGATGGTGCACTCGCTTAAATCATACAAAACTTTTAAAAAAATCGGCCAAGTGCGAGCCGAACTCGCGCACGAAATCAGAAATCAATATACATAATTATGTATCTTTATTCAAATTGTATATATATGTTACCGGCCAAACCCGATTTCAGGACAAACTAGTTTTGCCTAGGCTAAACTAGTTCTTCCTATACGCGATAGGATTAATTAGTATAGCCTAGTCCAAACTAATTTGTCCTAAGCCCGATAGGATAAACCAGTTTAGCCTAGGCCAAACTAGTTGATCCTGATATAAATACGTACACTCTAGGATAAACTAGTACGACCTAGTCTAAACAAATTTAGCAGAGTCGAAAGTAATTGAACAAATATGTCAGGACTTGTACAGGTTGCGTCATGTAAAAAGAACGCTGGAAGAAAGTGGAGGGAGTGTGTATGCGCATTGATGCAGCTGCAACAAAAACTGTTCCACAAACAAACAGTTGCTAATGATGGCACTGATACTACTCAGACACACATAATCAGACACTTTGAATTAAGCTTCTTTAATAAGTGTAAAAGAACACTATTTTTGAATTTATTTATGGTTTACTCTTGGATATTGCGTATTGTGTAAGCGAACAAAAAGATCTTTAAATGAATTTTTGATTTTGTGATGCCTAGTAGCAAGTAAAGTTAGTTACTCTTGTTTCTTGAAGTGTGTGAATATCCTTGTTGTTAAGAAACAAATTAATATTTTTTTCTTACAAGTAATAAATTTTCGTTTTTGTATTTTGATGCGACCGTCACTATGCCAAATTCATTTAACTTATCTCTTAAAGATTCTTTAACTTTAAGATTATAATTTGATCGAATAGCTCTCTTCTGCAGCACAAAAATAGTTTGAATGTTGGCGGCGTTTCCCCACAATAAAATTTCGTACCACATTACACTTTCCATAGTGTAAAGAAGTTTTTTTTTTAATTGGAAGCTACATTTATGCCGAAATATAAAAAATTACTTAGCATTGACTACTTGTCATTACTTTTTAAGATAAAAAAAACATGCAAAGGAGATTGCTCAAATTGGCCTAAATGCACAAAAAATATTGACATACACGGTAATTGTTGGCATAATTTATAATTTAATTTACAGTCATTAGATTTCAACGGACACCTTTGTATAATATATTTACTTTAAAAAGGACTTTTAATATTACCGGTTTGGAAAACATACGAATCATTTTTAATGGCTATGGGTGTAGTAACATTCAGCCAAAGACTGATCAAAGTTGTATATATAACATAAAAACAAATCTATTGTGTAAAGATCGATAAAATAATTCATTTTTTTAATACATTGTGGTATTAATATCCACCACTATATTATCATTTTCACTAGATGCAAATGTGCTCAGACAATTATTATAGATGGTAGGCGACATCATACAGTCTATTACCATACATTTTTCACCAAACACCTCCATAAACACATTATAATCAGTATATATATTATACTTTAAGGTAAAATCTATGGGCCTACGTTCCCTGACTATAAATTATTAAATAAATAAAATTATAAGGTGTGATACACTAAAAACTAAAATATGGTTATCTTAAAAACATAACAAAAATAATGAACTACTGAATATTCGGCTATAGAACCTAAATCTCTTAGCTTTCTTTGGTTAACTAGAGTTTAAAAATTCTCTCTAATCTGTGGCTCGTTCACACAGTTTCTGTCACAGAGTATCTTATTATAACCGGAAATGACACCTGATTTTAAAAGTTACTCTTAAGCATTAACTTTAAAAACAGGCAACTATCTGTTAATCTACAAGCTCTATATACCTGAATCTAATCCATAATTTCGGTACTTGGCTTGATTTCCCTAGTTTACTTTATAACTTTTTTTTTTTTTATTATTTTAATATGTTCAGTGTATATGGTTTATAGAAGTTCTCAGGGGTGTCCGTCAATAATATTGGTTTCTACAGTAATTTATATATAATTTCGAATCTAGGAAACAATTTTTCATGATTATTGGTCTTTAGGCCAAACATGTATGGAGGCTGAGCAATCTCCTTAGATAATTAAATAAATAAATAAATAGTTTGCCGTAATGCATGTTTTTTTTATCTTAAAAATAATGGCAATAAACAATGCCAAGTTAATTTATATATTTGGCATAAATGTAGCTTCCAATTTAAAAAAAAAATCATAAGATTTGATAAATAAATATTGTGTCGAACAAAAACTTTTAAATGAGCTAAAAATAGCACCGATAATAGAATCCCGAATTTAAGTTCATTTGAAGGGGAAATAATCAATTTCGATCAAAACTAAACACAGGCTGTGATAGGATCTTAGAATCCCAGTAGAATTCACGAAAAACGTCGTCAACAGACGCTCCACAATTACGGAGCTGTTAAAATTCGTGCTTGGGCCTCTGAAATCTAATGTTACATCGAATACGTTACTCACGTGCGCATCATGAGGCAATAAGTTCATGAAATGCTGCGTCACGTTCCATTTGAGCAGTGTGTACCAGTAGGTTCCTTGGAAACTATCTCCAGCGTTCAGTAGCAAGGAATCCGGCTTCTCCTTCCGCAGTACTTCGATCTCGTGGTAGAGTCTTGGAAAACCGCCTAAACAGGAGTAGTTATTGGATCTGCATGTTGGAGTCTCCACGGAGGTTTCCTCGAATCTAGTGTCAACATGAAATAATTTGTTTTCTATAACACGGAGCTGGAGAACTTTGTATATGCTGTATGAGTAAGACTAGTATGCGCCAGTTGCTTTTGGTTGTTTTTGAATTGCAAGCTTTGTAAACCTTCCGCCTTTAGGCCTTTTGTCAACTTAATTTTACCAGACACCGACAGTGATATACTTGTGCTTCTTATCGATGCGCTCCTATACGAATGCATGCATATCGCATCAGCCTATTTTCCAGTACCTAAAACAACGGTTAGGCGCTTTGCAGACGATGGGGCGGGGCGGACTTTTTGTCCGCGAAGCAATTAAAACCGCGTCGATGTCTGCGGCTGCCTTCGCCGCGTACACAAAGCACATGACGGGCAGAGGCAGTCAGTTCAGGACCTTCGTTCGAGTGAATAATCCACCACTAAAAACCCGGGGCGCGGACTGAGCTAGCCGCCCCACGCCGCCGCATATAAACTGGTTTGTATGATCCACGGCGGGCAGCCGCGGACATGCCGCGCCGCCAGTGCCCGCCGGGCACCTGCGGCGCGGTCTTTTTGCCCTCTGTGCGTTTGTATTATAGGATTCCCTTTGTGCTATCGTTCGCGGCGAAATTGACCGGCCCGCTCCGCCCCGCCGTCTGCAAAGCGCCTTAGTCGTAGCTCAGTACTGAGCGTCCGTGATGGTCCCCCCGATTCATAATACCTTGCCAGAGATGCTTTCAGTTATCCTAAGGACAGTATTTTTTTAACACCTGTTTGGACAATTTTGCTGGGCTGCGTCCTCTAGGTTATTTATTTAACAGTATATTTATAAATGTAGTTAATTTCATCAAATCCAAATACAGTGTAAACTCTATTTAAAGACACTAAAGGGACTGTACATTTTATGGCGTTATAAAGAGTTGTCGTTAAATGGAAAGAAAAAGTTCATTTCAAGCTAGTAGTAATGAGTAAAGCGACAAAAGAACGTACAGCTGCGCGATTTTCACTAATTTTGGCAACTTAAAAGGTACTTTTTATTACTTAATTGTTGCCGTTATTGAGAGTGGGTGTAATGCTATATGGAGTGTATCATTGTATGGAAAACAAACTAAACCAACCAAAGACGAGGATTTCGACGCTTTAGGGAGTTTGTCGTTAAATCGACTGACGTTAAATGGAGTTTACACTGTATAAGATTTTTACGTTTTACTTAATAATTCTTGCATAAATTAATATCGACTTGTTCTAGTTCTTAGTACCAAATCGCGTATAGCTATCATAGCTTATCCGTGCGGTGACGGAGAAAGAATACAACTCACCGCCCCTTCTCTTCCCGTGGGTGTCGTAAAAGGCGACTAAGGGATATCGGAGCTTCCATCCGCTCCTCTGGTGGTAGGGTGCCTAACACCCGCCTGGTTTGCTACCACCGTGCGCATGGTGAAAAACCCGTGAAGTGCTTCTCGCGCGTTTCGGGGTCAGCCAGCGTACAACCAGGGCTCGAGTGGAGGTTGTCGCGACGGATTCGGTCCAGGGCGAGGCATCCGTCGAACCGATGCCGGGAGGACTGCATCGACCCGCCGGCCAGGGAGACCCGTAGAAACGGCTGTCCCGCTGGCCGCCCGTGGCACAGTACAGGGGCCCGAGCGTTCCTAACCAGTTCGCGAGGCTGCCCTATCATGTCACGCATAATCTCGGGGTGGACCGTCGTGCCGGTTGGTGACCGGGGCGTGGGGTCCCGGCGGCCACTTCCGGGAGGGTGCGGGGGCCCTTCCGTCCGGCGGGTCGGCGTATATCCTCTGCAGGCAATCATTCGGGAAAACATGCCTTCCTAATTTGCCCGGTCTTGTCGCGACAAAGTCTACTCGTTTCACGTCTCTTTTTTAACTTCCATAATGGCAGCTCTTAAAACAAAGTTTGGACGTTCAGCGGTGCACACCCCCACGCCTTCAACGCTGTTTGAGGTCGAGTTCTGCAACATACGCGGACTCCACTCTAACCTCAATGCTGTCCACCACCACCTTGAGACAGCACGGCCAGCATTGTTGTTCCTGACGGAGACACAAATACTTCCGCCTGCTGACACAGGCTACCTTAACTATCCCGGCTACGTGCTTGAAGAGTCCTTCAAAGCGAAAGCCGGTGTATGCCTGTATGTTCGGGCGGATGTTTGTTGTCGCCGTCTCCGCTGCTTGGAAGATCCCACCTTCTCCATATTGGGAGTACACGTCGACTCAGGTCCCCAGGCCAGAGTCTACGTGTGCCTCTACAGATCCCATACTGGTGATGTTGAGACAACTCGACTTTTCGAACATCTTAGTCGGGCAGCAGATGACGCGCAGGAGCAATTTCCCAATGCAGAATTGGTGTTTTTGGGGGACTTTAATGCTCACCACAATTTGTGGTTAAGTTCCTCGAAAACTGACCATGCAGGGATCTCTGCTCACGCGTTCGCTCTCACGCATGACTTGGAGCAACTGGTTGATCAGCCCACCAGGATTCCAGATATTTCAAGTCAAGCGCCTTCATTGCTGGACCTTCTGCTCACGACCCATCCACAGGGCTATCAGGTTGTGGTAGGAGCCCCCCTGGGCTCTTCAGATCACTGCCTGATATCTGCCAAAGCGCCACAGGCTAAACATCCGCGTCCAACGGTGGTAAAACGCCGGATCTGGCACTATGGGTCAGCAGATTGGGACGGTATGCGTGACTACTTTGCGTCCGTCCCTTGGAAGCAGCGCTGCTTCAATGACAAGGACCTATCGGCCAGCGCCGTTGCTATTACTGAGGAGATTGTAATGGGTATGGAATACTATATTCCTCATTCCAATTTCATCAGTAAGGGCACACGTAACCTCTGGTTCAATCACGACTGTGCTGAAGCTGCTTCGCGTAAGCAAGCGGCATATCGTGCTTGGATCAGAGGCCGCGCTCTTAAGGATCCCGAGGTCGATTCACTAAAAGCAGCCTACAATATTGCTTCCAAGGCCTGTAAGAAGGCATACATCAGAGCGGATGCCCAGCGCGTTGCACGTGTTGGTCACGATCTTATAACGCATCCTACGGGCTCCCGTAGCTATTGGCGTTTGGCCAAGGCCGTGCAAAAGAACTTCTGCCAGCCCTCGCTGCCACCTCTGAGATGTCCAGACGGAACACTAGCTCATAAGCCGCAGGAGAAAGCCGATTTACTGGCAAAACTCTTTGCGGCTAACTCCCGAATCGATGATTGCAATGCACTGCCACCATTATTACCTCATTGTGGCACAACGATGCCTGATATCAAAATCAGGCAGCGTGAGGTTCGTGCCGAATTGCAATCACTCGACGTCCGGAAAGCTAGTGGACCTGATGGCATCCCAGCAGTAGTATTGAAAAAATGTGCAGCGGAGTTGTCTCCCGTGCTCACGCGTTTGTACCAGTGCTCGTATTCTTTGGGGCGTGTGCCGGAGACTTGGAGAAATGCTAACGGGCAACCGGTACCCAAAAAAGGGGATCGCTCAGACCCGGCAAACTACCGGCCAATAGCAGTCACCTCAGTATTATGTAAAGTCCTAGAAAAGGTCCTTAACAACCATCTGACCCGCTACCTAGAGGATCACTCCCTGATTAATGATCGTCAATATGGTTTTAGACCGAAACGATCGACGGGTGATCTTCTAGCGTACTTGACTCATATCTGGGGTGAGGCTATCGACAAGCGGGGCGAGTCGTTGGCTATCAGCCTAGACATTGCCAAGGCATTCGACAGGGTCTGGCACAAAAGCCTTCTCTCCAAGCTTCTGGCATACGGTCTGTCGGCCCAGTTCTGTTCTTGGGTAGCTGACTTCCTGCATGAGCGAAGAATTCGTGTCCTTACGGATGGTAGCAGTTCGCAGTTCATGTCAGTGAATGCCGGCGTTCCCCAGGGCTCCGTCCTATCCCCCACTCTCTTTCTGCTGCATATCAATGACCTAATTCCTCTTGGGAATATTCATTGCTATGCAGACGACAGTACAGTGCATGCGGGGTATCTCGGACAAGCAGCGGCTGGGCAGGCGGTAACCAAGGAGAAACGGGAGAATCTTGTCATTGAACTCAATCAGGCTTTGGACCACATTTCTGAATGAAATTCCTTTTATGTCCTTCTCTTCAGGGCACAACACTGGAGCTAGAGAGCAGTATCACCATGCTCGGTATGGAGATTCGCTGTGACTTAAATCCAAAAAATTACATCGAAAGTGTGATAAAAACAGCCTCACGCAAACTCGGAGTCCTGAACAAGGTGCGGCGTTTTTTCACGCCCGAGAAACTATGCTTGTTATATAAGACGCAGGTTCGGTCATGCGTGGAATATTGCTCGCACCTCTGGGATGGCTCCGCCAAGTACTTGCTCGATGCTTTGGATAGGTTACAGCGGCGCGCAATACGCATCATAGGTGATGAGGAGGTGTCTAAACACCTCGAGCCTCTTCAATTACGCCGTGACGTGGCGTCACTAAGCGCGTTCTATCGTCTGTACCACGGCGAGTGTTCTGAGGAGTTATTCTCTCTTATTCCACCTTCCCCTTTCCTTCAGAGGACCACGCGCGCTGGCTTACGTTGTCACCGTCTAACTGTGGCTACAATTCCAACGCGTACAAAGAAATTTGGTGACTCATTTCTTTGTCGTACTATCCGTAAATGGAATGCTCTGCCCGCTCACGTGTTCCCTCCCTCTTACAACCTGGGATCCTTTAAAAGAGGCGTGAAGAAGCAACATGCAGGCCGGCAGGGTGAGGATGGCTGGTGTGGCAGGTAGAACTGCTGTATCAGCTATCTTCGCGTCTGGACTTCACCTCCACTTAACATCAGGTGGGGTGGAGTCATTTGTCGGACCTATCTATAAAAAAAAAAAAAAAAAGCTTATGTACTCATTTCTCATGTCTGAACTCGGCAAGTTTCTATGGCAGTTTCACCAGTGTAAAGGCGTATTTTAAAAACTTGGATAAGGTAAATTGAAATTATCAACAGTGTGTATGCGTCATCTACACTGCACACCTGTTCTTGACTACCTAATATACTTATATACATTAAACACGCACAGTCAAAGATAATATACGTATACGATTCTCTCGTGTTGTCCCCATATCATATTCGTAAAAATAAATTAAGACTAGTTTTGAGATTACAAACTTAACATACCACAAGGAAGTATTCTTGGTCCACTATTATTTTCAGTTTAAATAAAATTATAGGTAGGTACTGTATTTGTGTATTTAATTGTAAGATAAGTAATTAAATGAATTTTTAATTAGAACGTTAAAGCATACTTTCATTCTCTTTTACCATTTGCTAGTTTACATCAGATACTACTTTACAAAGTAGTAAAAATATTATGTCGCAGTAACATTGGATAGTAACGCTAACGTATAAGCGTAAAGAATAAAGTTCAAACATTACTAAATCTTTCTAAAAACAATGCACGGTTGGTCGTTTTTCTCGAGCATACTATCAAGACAAATTAGTGCTTGTGAAATAATTCGGTATCCCGTCTTATCATATACAAATAGAAACATTTTCTAGTCAACGTTATATTTGAAGGAGCTACATGAATGGTGTGATATATTATCTATAATCTCTTTTACTGTGTTATCCATTCATTAGTTTCGGGCATCAAATATCTGTCCGTAATAGCGTTCCTAGACGACCCGTATTTCCCGGAACGTCCCGTATTTCAGGCATAATTTAAAACGTCCCGACAGCATCTGTCCCTTATTTCAACATTGTTGAGATTAAAATGATCCAACAATTGTGTAGGAGTGAAATCCTAATTATCATTATTCTAATTATACCGTTTGTTTTTAGCTTCAATCAACAATTCTATAGATAACGGGTTGCATACAAAATCAAATCAAAAAAACTTATGCAGCTACATTCCATTCCCAATGAACAAAGATAAATGTTTTAAAACAGTTTAAGTTGAACCTAATAACAACTATCTCACAGAGGAATAAGGTTACAAATAACAAAATGTTATTCCGCACATACGACCTTTTTATCTTATAAAACGAACTGTTGTTCCTTTTATAAATTAGATCTGATACTTGCAAAAAAACTATAAAGATGAAAAAGGAAAATGTGAAATCAACCTTATGATTATGACCCACAAAATAAAATATTTTTACCAGTCATTAGACAGCTAGTTACTTCGTTTTGTATTAACCGGACTAATTTAAAATAAGATCTCACGCTTCAAATGAGGTTATATTTACCGGATTTTACGCGCTGACCCGTTATCTATAGAATTGTTGATCTAAGGTTTTTAATATCCCTAGTTCCTGCAGATAGTATTTTTTGCAAATGACATTAAAATGTACTGAATGTGCGCACCAAATGTACTCTGGATTCGACAAAGAGCGCATCAGTGACCAATGTAATTACTTAAATCAACTATGTTTACCTATAGATGCACTGCTTTCGAAAATATGTAAAATCGAGCAATAAAATGTTAAAAAACTTAGCCGAACTCTACGCCAGAGTCGACAATTTTTATTAGGTACTAATTTAGGACTAGGGTGGCCGAAAAAAACTGGCCACCCTAGTCCGTTATGATGAGCCTTCTTTCTAGAAGTTTAGCACCTCTGATCGTTCTGTTCGAGAACAATTGAGGCCATAAGAACCATAGTGGCCTAACTCATTTTTTTACAATATTTAGTTTATGATTTTTTCCAGTTCAAATTGATCATTTTGATAGAACCAGAGTGGTCTAAAAGTGATACAACGAATATTCTCTAGATGGCAGCATAATCACTGTTACTAAATTTGAGGTGCCATACTGACCTAAGAAGGATAGGCCACTATGATTAAAAAATGAATTAGGCTACTATGGTTCTCATTTCCTCAATAAATAGATATCTAATTAATATGCAAACATTTCAAAGTAAATCGATTTGTTAAGCTGTTGCAAAAATGTCCAAATATGTAAAGAGAGCAGACGCAGAAGCAATAATCAACTTAATGTCGATCTTTCTGTCCTTGAACAATGCAATGATTATTGCACCGCTTCGAATTACTTTTACGTAAGCTACTGGTGTCGATTCTGGCGTGATTCTCTAAACTTAAAACTAATTTTAACATCAGTCTCTCCTTTTCATTCTATATAGGGAATGACAAGGATACAATGTTGTCAAATTTAAGTTTAGGTTTAGAGAATCATGCTAGAATCGACACCACTATCTGCCTAGGTCAACGATCCATTGCAAACAAGTAAGAATTACTCAACCAAAATACGTTTTAAGTAAGACAAAACCGGAATATTTTCGTGAATATTAAAAATGTAATTAACAAATCCTAACATTTATCTTTGCGGTTATTGAGTTCCGGTGCCAAGCAAAAACTATCTTTAAGTACAGTTGCAAATATACATATTTACAAAGAAATGAAACATTGTGATAATTAATTATTATCAAAGATTACTAGGTGTGTAAGTTAGCAAGTTTATAAAGTATCTTGTAAGGGAGCTATCATTTCGGTTCCACGTCATAGTGTCGTCTTTAGTTTATCAATTCCTATCCAAATTACCATGACGTAAATATCTCATTTGATTGAGACATTCCACTGCACTTTAAGGGCTCTTAATTGCTCTATAATAAAAGCAAAACAACCAAAATATTTTATTGTTATGTAGAACCTTATAGTTTTAATATTAACATGATCTTCCGCAGAAAAGGTTCGAATATGTAAGAACTACTTAAATAAAAAAAACTTAATAAATCTTACCTGGCATGAAAATCATTGTAGTGTATTATATCCAGTCTATACAACCCTTCGAAGGGCAGTGCGAAGCCATCGATCGCAACAAAGAGTACCAGCAACACAACACATGAGACGTTAACCATTTTTTTTAACTCATCAACTGTCTTTCACATGATCAAAACTCGTGAATCGTCGCTACAAACGAACGCAACAAAATACAAGACTTTATCGCGCAAAGCGTGGTATGCGACTGTGTAATATCAATTTATCATTCAGTGTCTACGTCTCGTCACCACAACTGTGAGCGATACAGCGATGAATAAAGCATAATTATGACAATTATTTGGCAAATATTGTTTGTAAACAATACACAAACACTTCCTTATCACGCATTATTTATTATACATTAAAGTCCCTTCCCCTTCTATGTCGTGATGATCACAAAAAGTACCTAGTTACTCAACTGGTTCTTATGCTGTTTTCAATGGCCGCATGAGCCAAAATTAGATATTATTTCACGGAAGGTAGTACCCTATCCTTTCATCAACCGAAGATCCTATCCTACTAATATCATCCCGCAAAAACTACTAAACGGATTTGGATGAAATTTGGCACGCATGTAGTTTATGGCCTGGAATAACACATAAGATACTTTTTATCCCGGACTAATGACATGTTCCTGTGTTATTCACAAAAACACCAAGTTAATGCGGACTAAATAATACCCAGACTGAAAACAATAGTCTGCAATCGAAGCGACAAGCGAAACAAAGAAAGCAACTAGTTTTCTATAACAGAAATAATTCCTTAGACTGTTAGCAAAAAGACGCCTGATTGCAATTTACCCACGGCAGGGCACAAGATACTATTCGATTATCCATATTTTGACCATCAGAAAAAAAGTAAGGTATGGTGACCTTGGGATCTTACTCTATTTCGTATTCGAGTGTAGAAATTATTTTGCTTTTGACTATATGAAACATGGGGTTACGAAAATTTATTTCGAGGTGTAAGTTAAGCTGTTACTACTTATGATATTTAAATACATATCTGTGAAAATCAAGTGGTGAAAATAGACTTTTTCTTAAACAGACACTTATATAGACAGATTATATTCATTCTGTGGCATAGATGAATGGATTGATCACGCTTCACTGCGAGACCAATCATTTATCTATGTTCTGTGGCTTGTCTGTCAAATCTCTGAATAAGGATCATATGGAAAAGACACATGGAAAAGCTACATTGTAATTTGGTATAGAAATTACAAAATACTGCTCTCACCTTTTTATATTCTTATTGATGCATATGAAAAAGACACCAGCACTCTTTTTCGCAATATCCGCTACAGTAGTGACAATCTATATCTAATAAACAATCGTGCTCGTGTGGCCATTTTAGCTCCCCATAAGTAGTCTGAGTTACGGATTGCCAGATTAAGAAGAACGCTGACAGCGCCGTATTACAATTCAACAGTACATATTTATAATATGACCAGAACGCCGACACTGCAGAAAACGTAGGAATCACACGCAAGCTGCCCGTGGCCTCATCACTTCGTTTCACATTTCGATCGGGTCAACTAGTTTAAGAATTAGTAATTGTAATTTTTATATTAAATTAATATTAGAAATCGTTTTGGTTCTTTTTTACCTCTTACGGCTGCTGCATATTTATCTTCTGTGGTTCCCTAGTTTGTTTACAAATAAGTTGCCGACGTGATTCTTATTGGAGAAATTTAAAACCGAGAAAATAATTAAATTAAGGATTTAAACATAAATGTGAAGTGTTCTGTGTTTAAGTTGAATTGAGACGCAGTGTTGAAGCAACAATACTTTTAATAATAATATAACATAAATACAACCGAAAAGAAAACCTGTCTAAACAAAACCATAGTAACCAAGTGTCTTGGTTCACACTATTTTTGTAATTTCTATACCAAATTACAATGTAGCTATGTATGTATATGTTTTCGTGTCTTTTCCATATGATGCTTATTCAGAGATTTGACAGACAAGCCACAGAATGAATATAATCTGTCTATATATGTGTCTGTATAAGAAAAAATCTTTTTTCACCACTTGATTTTCAGAAAGAATATCTTAGAGTAACAAATTTGTAATCGCTTTTCTATTAGATTATAATTAAGGAATGTTAAAGTTTAGTTAGTTTATTGTTTTTCATAAATGGAATTATTCGTAGGGTTAATACACTATTGCGAGTTATTAGGACCGTTCGAGGCAAACTAAAAATAAAAGGGAAATAAAATATCGATAAGACCAAGATCGATGAGGGGGTACAACACCAGCGCTGCTAGATTACTATTGTAAACTACATGAAAATTCGTTGAAAGGCAACAGGCTTTGGTTCCTGTAGCCTTTGGTTTCTTAAGCTGTATTTTTAATATATGTAGTTTCATGATCAACTTCTTGTAAAAATAGCAATTTCTAGTTAAATTGGTTACTTACCGGTGAAAACTTAGGTTAGGTCTATATTTGTATCGACACAGGAATTAATTACAGAATATTAGAGCAAAACACTTTGGTTTATAAAGAATGTAGATGTGATGTCATTGTTAATAGTTTTTAACTCACTTAACACGCGTTTTGAGAGGTTAAAAAACTATTAACAATGACATCACATCTTCATTCTTCTACAAAATTATGAAATTTACACATGCAATTACCAAAATATAAATAGAATAAATAGGTTTCAAAAATTGTATGCAGTGATACCATAGCTCCTTAGCGGACTGGGCCTGCACCCGAAATACCTTACTACATTTTCCATACATCCTGAAAAGGATGCGAAGCGTCAAAAATACTGTGAAAAAGTATTAAAAACGCATTTACACTCGTTCAAAACTTGTTTTATTTAATGAGTGGTGTGCGTGAAAACTTAGAAACAAATATATTTTGTTTTGTTTTTTGTTTCAGGCCTATCAACCATCCTGCTCAAATAAATCTCATACACCCGTATATACTTGGACTGACCTTTAAATGGTTAGCTGTGTGGTCATTATTATTATTGTAATATACACACAAAAATTACCTCACGAGCGATAAAACCGCCTGGCCGTAATTATTACCTTTCGCAAATTTTACAAGTTTAAAGTTACATTAAACTTGTCTCCTCATAAGGAGTATTGAAGTGAACCTTGGACATTGTGTCTTTTATATACTTGCTCATTTATTTTGAAAATTGTTTACTGGATATTTCGTGGCTTTTGTATATTTATTTCCATTTCTTATTGTAGTTCTTGTATTTAATAACAATGGTAGAATTTAATTAACGTTGAATAAAATTATCTCCGATTGTTTCCGAAATTCAAATAGATTTTTCTCTCCCTTCAACCCTTTTCTTCAGTATATTTATGTGACCCTATATGCTTTGACCACAGCAAAAAAAAAACATAACGTCAATAAAAAGTATCGACTAAAGAGATCCTAAGTCCGCCATGTTTGCTCCCCGATTTGTTTATTTAAGTAAACACGCGAAGTACATGCTTGTGTCATTTCCATATGATCCTTATTCAGAGTGTCAAATAATGACAGGAAAAGATTAGCTTCTCAAAGAGGACTGAGGATATAGCTGAAACGGAGTGATTACTTGCTCAAACTCAATTTTTAAATTTATGAAATAAATCACTAGTGACTACAGTATCTACCGTTTTAATTATATCTCACTTCGAAATGATATCGTTTCTTAAAGTAGAAACGATATTATATAATTAAGCTGTATTTAAATTTTGTTGTATAAATAGCAACCCGGTTTGCGATAGCAATGATAAGGTGAATATTGATAGCAATTCACGAGGCATAGGTAACTATAATAACTATGTAATGTTACTGACCGATATGAGTTCATTACTTTGGTTAACCCAATTATTTTGCACACTTGGGCGCGGGACATACAGAAAAGACGCAGACGAGGCGCGGGCATTAAGCTCCTTTCATACAAAATGTACATAAGCGCCGTGTCCGCCACTGTACTCGCCCCTATCTTTTCTATATTATGTTTTGCGACGCTTCAATATAGTTTGTATAAAAAGGACGCGGAAGAGACACTGGTGTCGATTCTGATGATTCTCTAAACTTAAAACTAAATTTAACATCCGTCTCTCCTTTTCATTCTGTATAAAGAATGACAAGGATACACTGTAGTCAAATTTAGGAGGATCTCGATGGCGCGGGTGGTTAGCGCGTTCGGCTGCGATCGTTGAAGTTAAGCAACTTTCGCAGTGGTCGGTCACTTGATGGGTGACCAAAAATCTTCTATCTTGAGTTCCTCCGTGCTTCGGAAGGCGCGTTAAGCCGTTGGTCCCGGCTGCATCTGCAGTCGTTAGCACCCGCTAATCCACACTGTAGGTCATGGCCCAATCTCCTTATTCCATCCATAGGGAATGCCCGTGCCCCAGCAGTGGGGATATTAATAGGCTGATTATGATGGATGAAACTTAGGTTTACGTTTAGAGAATCATGACAGAATGGATACCATTGCATTATAGTTATGGTTTGACCGCCGTAAACTCGACCCTCCCGATGGTCCGCGGGACGCTGGGCGGCGGGTTTGCACGAGTACACATGGCACTGCCGACGCCGCAATATATCTCAAGATTATTAAATGTTCGTGTTATTGTTTCAAAATGTGTTAGTCTTTGTACTAGTATTACGAATTTATTATTATAAAAACTAATGTGACTTTGTAATATGTACATTTCATTTATTTCAATGTAATATAAGTAAAGGTATAAAAGAAATTAACATATTTGTTCATCCGAAACCTTTTCTAATTCTGAGTTTTGGCAAAGATTCGGATGACGTTTCTTCTGACAACTGAATTATGAAAGGTCATTGTGTAGCGGATACAAAGCTGAAACCGCGCGAGCTCTATCAGTGAATGTCTATGACAGGCCACTGATTGATTCGCATCCCCCTACCGCGTCCCGCGGACTACGGAAGGATTGACTTTACAGACAAGCTACAAGAACTCATGGTGCGGTTTTCCCGCACACGCCGCAGACGGCAGCAGAGCAGGGCAGGTGTACTTCAAAACTCATCATCAGCATATTAACGTCCCCACTGCTGGGTTGTGACCCATTAATAAGCCTTCCCTATGTATGGATTAGGGAGATTGGGCCATGACCCACCACGCAGGCCCAATGCGGATTGTTAGGTGCTAACACTATAAACACGCTTACGCTTTACGCTTTAAACTCAAAACTCACAAGACCGCAATTTTCCGTGGACCCGCAGTTGCCGTGCGAGTAATCGCGTCCGGCGCGGCGCCCACCCGTAGCGGCTGCCACAAATTCCCGCGCGTTCTGCGAGCGTAAATCGCGCCGTGAAACTTGATTTTGCGTTTTATCTACAACTAGCTGACCCGGCGAACTTCGTACCGCCTTAGCGTAGCTTTGATGCACTACTTTATTTTGTATAGCTGACCTATCTTATGTATGAGTACCTATTCAATTTGAACTGGAATCTATAATATCCTCCATATAAAAATGAATCCTTATTTCCCTGGTCTCGCCATACCTCAGGACTTTACTAATTTTTATTAAATAAAAAACAACATATATATTTTCATAATAGTGTTTATTCCATAGGGTTCAATTTCACTCATATTTTTACAAATCGCTATTGAACAACTTTGCATTTTGAAGTAAACACTGAGCTCAACACCACGCGCGCTCTAGAAAGCAACTAATAGCCTCTATACTTTTCACTGCTTCTCTCTATTCTAATGCTTTTTGATAAACTATACGGTACGAAGTTCGCCGGGTCAGCTAGTCCATAACCGCGCAAACAATAATTTTATTAAGTTTTTGATAAAGTTCGTTTTGTTTTAAAGACTAAGAAGTTTTTTGTTTGCTAATAAGTGTTTGTTCCTGTCGCAGATTACCACAGATTTTTTTTGTTTTAAATTATGACGTTGACATTTGTCAGCGCGGTTATCGATGTGGTGTCACAGATTACCACAGATTTTTTGTTTTAAATTGAATGACGTTGACATTCGTTACGTTATATTTTTCAATTTTTCTGAGAGATTTTCTTTATATTTTTTTCCGTAAGAACCTTGTACAGAGTATTAGAAAACTACAAAAAAAAATCAGCCAAATCGGTCAAGCCGTTTTCATGTTATGACGTGACAACGGAAAACGGGTTTCATTTTTATATATATATAGATATAGATTTCACATTCTACGTGAATTGCGGTCCCGCAGCCGCCGCAACATATACGGGAGAAAATCGCGCCGCGAAATCTTAGCCTATATCTGCGCTGCGTCTGCGTCTTGTCTTTGTGTCCCATGCTTTACAAATTAACAACCGATGTTGTTATCCAGAACTGACAATACATTAATCGACTTTTAACTTCATGTCCCTTGATTTAAGATTCACAATAAATTTTGTAATGATGGGTTTTTTTGTATAGATTGGTCCGACAAATAACTTCAACCCACCTGATGTTTTACTGTACAATGAAGGTATTTTACGCTTATGTAAATACAAGAATAGTTTAGATATAAAATCTAATCTCATTTGGTACCGAACTCCAATTATGTTTCTCTCTATAGTCAGGTTTCAGAGTGAGTCTTTTTATTATAGATATTAACGGGATTGTTACCATGTACCTTGTTTTTTATAATATATTTATATTATATTTTAATTGATTCGGGTCCTAATCACTGGATTGAGCTCCATAATCCACAAATTATCTCGACAGAACGCCACTACATACCAAGATTGGTCAGGGAAGCGATTGAAATAACCAAACACAAGAATTTCAATCGTGAGGATGGGTTTAAATTGTCTAGAGTGTGGAATCCAGTGGTTCGTATGTGTAAAAACCGCAAAAATCAAAAAAGTGTCGTTCCGCGATCTGATACTGTGAGTATTGTGTGCCGGGAACAAATGCGAGTGAATAGTGAGAATGTGACCAATGGTAGTGGTAGTATCGAACGCAGTAAAAGACGACGTCAGAGGGTAGACCGATATGTCTGCCAATAACATCTACCCGCAATTACTTCAGTTACTCCGTGATCATGGCGCTTGCAACAGTGCCGAAATATCGGAGACTCATAAAAAACAAGGTACATGGTAACAATCCCGTTAATATCTATAATGTTAGTGACCATGAAAGTTTAAAACAATGAGTCTTTTTATGTATAATTTAAGATGTTTTTGAGATAATTTGTACCAAGGTACAAAATTGGGCAAACATCAAGGTCTCCTTTGCAATGTTATCATCTTTCATCATCATCAGTCTATTAATGTCCCCACAACTGGGGCACAGACCTTCGCTATGGATGGAATAGGGAGATTGGGCCATGATCCACCACGCGGGCGCAGTGCGGATCGACAGACTGCAGATGCAGCCGGGACCAACGGCTTAACGTCCCTTCCGAAGCAAGGAGGAACTCGAGTTAGAAAATTTTTGGTCACCCATCCAATGACCGACCACTGCGAAAATTGCTTAACTTCAACGATCGCAGCCAAACACGCTAACCACCCGCGCCAACGAGCTCCTCCATTATCTTTTTTGCTTAGCAAAAGGAGCTACTTTCTTAGTACCTACTAAGTACTACTACTATTACCAACTACACTTGTAACAGCCTAGACTGAATAAATGAGTTTGAGTTTACACTAATAGAACTACTGTACTACAATTGGGTGTTTGTAGGTGAAAGAAAATAACAAATAACGTTTAAAATAATTATATTTACATCTTATATATAGGTTATGTATAATTTATATATTTTATTTATTGTTTGTGTTGTTTATAATGGAGGCCAGTAGATAGAGGCTTCATTATGTGCAGACTCCGGTAACCATTTCAAATATTCATCCAGCAAATCTAAAACAAAACGTTTTTTTTAACAAGGTTCAATATGGCCCTCTTGATGGTAAGTGACTACCATAACCTGTTGCAATGCTAGGCATAAATCTGCCTACCCTGATCCAATGGAGCCTCAGAAAGTTACAATGATAGAAACACATCACCACCAATCACGGTATTGTAATTTGATCTTGAACTATTTGCCTTCTTTTAAAGCATCGACGGCATTGTTTCATCTTTATAACACAGAATATCCCATTCGTTGTTATATTGAGTGCACATGCAGCGTGTTTGGATTTCAAATTGTGACTAAAGCGAATAGGAATATATATGGAATATGTATTTGACAAGTTTTAGAAAACGATCTCAAGTTATTTACTAATGTTTATGGAGTCCATAAAAAGATATTCATAATGAGAATCATTTCCAAGTCAATAAATCAAATCCACTATAACAGCATTTCAATAAGCATCTCAATATACTTTTTAAATCATCGAAATCGGTCCATCCGTTGCGATATTACAACTCTTTTTAATAGGTTGGAGAAACAAAAGAGCTCGATATTTTGGTGCCTCACGAGCTCACTGAAAGAAACCTAATGAACCGTGTAGTCATTTGTGATTCCTTATTAAGACGTATTGAAACCCGAACATGTTTTATAAAGCTGATAACTGGGGATGGAAAGTGGATCATGTCAGTCATCGCTCAGCCAGTCTCACTGAGCGAGTACCGCTGAGCGAATATCATTTAGCCAGTATCACGGAGCGAGATTCGCTGAGCCGGCATCGCTGAACCAGTATTCCTGAGCGAGTATTGCTGAGTATCGATTGGCCAGTACAGCTGAGCTAGCATCGCTGAGGGATACTCGCTGAGCCAGTAACGCTGAAAGAGTACCGCTGAGCCAGTATCGCTGAGGGAGATTCGCTAAACGAATATCGCTGAGCGAGTATGGCAGAGCGAGTATGAGTATAGTTTGGCCTGTACAGTTGAGCGAAAATCGCTGAGCGAGTAACGTTGAGAGAGTATAGCTGAGCAAGTATCGCTTAGCAAGTATCCCTTAGCGAGAATGGCTGAGCATTCTAAAAAATTACATAAACTGCTTCATGATAAGTTCAAACTACCCGTCTATATTCTACCTTTATGTTTTTATACGGCCAAGCTGCTAATGAACCTTATGTTCATAATAAGTGCAAGTGTGATTATGAAATGAAATTCAAATAGAAATGTAATTGATTATGAAATCAAATGAACTTATTACAAGCTCTTTTGAATCGACCTTAAATGCTTTTAAAAGTATATCTAACCATCACACTGAAATGTAGTTTTGATTTCTTACATCCAATTTAAAAGTACTATTTAAAAAATTCGACTTTATTGTTAAGTTCATAAAACTCATCGGCAATTTGACCATACCCAAAATGCAACACAGTAAAATCTACCTTTCTACAATGGACACTTATATAATTATAAAGTTATACTTACAAGTCGGTTGCTCGTTCCATATGTTCTTCAAAGCGTCTCTAGTGCCTATCCTTTTCATGATTAGTGCCTTCAGTATGATTTCAGTGCGTGGTTGTAATTTGGCCCAGCTCTTTACCATAGTAGACGGAGGGGAGAGAAGTGACCCGGAGTACTTCTTCAGCTTAGGAAATACGGAACCGTCCAGAAGGAACTTGGCAAACCACCTGTTAGAAAAGATAATATATTTGTTGTTTTATAATCATCATCATCATCATGTACAGCCTATTAATCACCCTACAATAGCAGGGAATCGAAGAGGTAGGTTGGGCCTTAACATACCACGCGGGCCCAGAACGGGTACTGGGATGGGCAAAGTTTTTCCTTATCGTGCCAATATTTACCATCAGAATCTATGGCGGGCCATATCTTTGCTCAGGGAACTTACTATGTTGAAAATGAAATAAAATATAATTTTATTTATTAGTATCGAATGCCCCCATAAATATGCCCCTAAGTTTGCTGCGTAGTAAAAAGGTGCGGATGATGCTACTTTTTGGTGAGACCCTTTGATTTTTGTGTGATGGTCGCATGACTTAAACCATTCGAGCGCTAAAGTTTGCCGATCTCTGCTGCATCTGAACGTTAACATCATCATTTAGTAGGTGTTAATACCCACTAAACTTTAGTGGATGGTAACGACTGCAGATGCAGCCGGGAACAACGGTACAACGTGCCTTCCGAAGCACTAAGGAACTCGAGATAATTATTTTTTGCTCACCCATCGAATGATCGGTCAACTTTGACGATTGAGTTTCTCACAGCTATGTTTGCTGCTTATCTTTGCTACAACGAACCTTTGTAAGTTTGTTTAATTCATACATCCTTTATGGGATAAGGAGTGATGGTTTTAAACCAATAAAGTCTCGCATTTCAGATTGATGAAGTCTAGATGGCCGGAAGTGACAATTATCAACATTAGTATCAGAAACTGCCTTGCCCACTGATAGACATCTGTTTAAATCTATTATCTATGCGAGCAAGTTGACAGCACTCTTACAGCATAAATATAACCGGACTAATTAAAAGGGATCGTTAATTGCTTGAGTCCCAGGACCTGAGCAAGTATATTTGATTTCAGTCACTTAAAATTGACAACTGATTGATGTTTGTAACTTAGGTGAACATGTTTGTTTTCATAATTTTAAGTTTTTCATGACGACTACTATGGAACAACGGACTAAGTATGTGATAAAGTGTAATGGTATGAAAACTTTACCTGTATCGTTCTATTTTATCTGGATATTCGATCTCAACGGTAGGCAGTTCCCAGCCAGCCTTGCCGAACGTACCCTTGAAGTGGCACTTAACTTTGCCGGACTTTTCATCGAATCTAGGCTCTGGGTCCGTTAGAGGTTCACCTGGGAACAATTTTTTTATTTTATTTTTTACAGGTCTATGTTGCATGATTAAACTGTACATATTAATGAAATAAAACATAAGTTTATCTGAGCCTTTCGGTAACGAGAGTTCAATGTTTTGTCCAAATCTTAGTGCCCCTCAAAGAATCCCAAAATATTTTACTTCACTAAAATAACTTGGAGCAGGTTATATAGCTACCACAGCATCCATAGAAATGGAGAATCGACTCAGCGACAATCTTATGAAATCTTTAACTCTCTAGAAAGAGAGAAATCAATGCAGTCAATATGTATATGAACTTAAGCCCGCCCGATCGATTTAGCTATCTCAAACTTATCTAAGTACCCAGTTTTTCTTAACATTTTATAAGAAACGCTCCATACATTCCATAGACAGGGAAACTAAAGAACTCTTTGGAAAGAGAGAAAGCGATAGTGCAGGATGCATCTATAAAGTATTGGCCGCACAAAGCGTCGCCTTGCTCACACTTATCTGCCTATTTTGACAGTTAACAGGGAACACTCAGTTCATTTCATAGACAAGAGAATTCTTACACTTAAACTCGCATGAAAATTACAACTCTTTTAAAAGAGAGTCAATACCTATACGTACTGTTGGTCTCACAGTCACTTTGTCAATCTCACACTTATCCGTTCGGTTTTCCAAAACAGTTGACAGGGAAGGCTCAGACTATTCCCATCTGCATGTCTGTAGTTAGCATAGATCAGAGATGGCAAACCTTTACATATAAAGGTGTTACTTTTCTAAAATTTGAAAAGAAATGAGGTCATAGACGTGCTATTAAATAATTTTGACTCTGTGATTATTGGGAAAATAATAACCCATACTTCCACTCCAATATTATAAATGCAAAAGTGTTTCTGTTTGTACCTTATCACGCTTAAATCGCTGAATCGATTTAGATGAAATATGGTATAAAGATGGTTTGAGTTCCGGGAAAGAACATTAGTAGGATAGTTTTTATCCGACAAACATCCTTTGAGAAGGGAAAAGGGAGGCGTGTCCTATATGATACGTAGATGTTACGAAGTACATAATGAATTTCAGTGATGTGCCCAAAATTATGTGTCACGTGACATTCAGGACACGCGTACTATTGGTTTGCCATCCCTGGCATAGATGTATATCAAACATCGCATCAAAATTCCATCTATTTAGTTAAAACTTACCTAGATTACATAGTTGTGGCACGTAAATGGGCAACCACTCCGGTTCTATAGCAGTAACGTTTCTCATGAGCATTTTCTTGTTCTCTTCACCAGCTTCATATAATTCTTGGTACACCACCCACTCGGGGATAACCTTGCGCAGTATAGACATCGAGTGCATGTGTACCGGTTCGTCTAACTCGCCGCAGTGGTAAGCGTATTTGAACTTGCGTTTGTCTTCGCCTATATTCGTGAACAACCTTTAATTAATAATTCTAAGAAAAAAAATGTTAATACCCTCATTAAAAAAATATGTACGTTATCTTTGTCAGTTTACATAAACGATTTTAATTGTTTTGATATCATTTTGAAAAAGAATACTCCAACTGTATATTGCTGAAATCCATAATTATAAATACATCTATGGCGGAATGTCAATTGGCCTATTGTTACCAAGCTATGGAAGAGCAGTGCATCCTAAGACAAGCAATTTTACTGCTTAAAAGGATATCATCATCATTAGCCTATTCATGTCCCCACTGCTGGGGCACAGGCTTTCCCTATGGATGGAATGGGGAGATTGGGCCATGACCCACCACGCGGGCCCAGTGCGGATCGGCGGGTGCTAACGACTGCAGATGCAGCCGGGACCAACGGCTTAACGTGCCTTCCGAAGCACGGAGGAACTCGAGATAGAAGATTTTGTTTTTTGATTTTGGTTGATTTTCAAATTGTCATTGTCAAATGTGTAATGATTTTTAGTTCTCGGTACATACTTTGTGGCGCGGCTGTTGCTGCTGCTGCAAGTTTCCATTTAAAATTTGACATTGACATTTCGCACTCGCAAACTATTTGAATTAGATAATGGTTCGTGCTAGGGGTACTGATACCTTACTCATCGACAGAATACAGCACACCCTAACGGTTACTTTGCTGTGAGCTTCTGTAAGACGTAACTTCCCCAGACGGGCACAACAATTAGAGCGGCAAATCTGCTATGTACTATTTTTGTATTTGTAAAAGGAATAACTACGGATTCTCTTTAATTTTTAACTCATTGTTGTTGCGATATCAGAAACAGGAATACAAACTTACACTACACTTCCGGATACATCTATCGGCCCACCTAGCGTTTTAAATTTTGACGGTCCCTAGCTAAAACTAATTTTAACATTAAGCAGAAAGTATTTATGCAGTTTGAAGCTGATTTATTAACAACTTTTCGTGTTTTTAAAATTATTGCTTAACAGAACTATTGAAACTTATAACATTAATGTATCCGGAAGTATAAGTGAAAATTTCACCAACATTTTACCAACTCATCTTCCTGCACTTCCAACTTACCAACTCTTCTTCTAGAGCCATCTTCCTGCCGACCTGGTCTCCGCTGAGCACCAGTGGCCTCATCAACCTCGCCTAGTTGTCATCGAGCGGTTTCATATCAGAATATTCTGTCACGTTACCAACTTACCTTCTTTCACTTCTTCTAGAGCGATCTTCCTGCCGACCTGGTCTCCCAGTCCACTAAGCACCAGTTGCCTTAACAACCTCGCCTGATTGTCATCGGGTGGTTTCATCTCAGGATCTACAGTCACGTCCACTTCAGCGATGCTGAGGTTTATCTCGGAGGTCAACTGCCTTCGGAGCTTGCGGATCTCTTTTATTGCCTAAGAAATTTATTGTTTGCGAATTAAACCTCTCAAAATTGTGCCGAATTTGCAACTAATACTGGTAAAGCGAGTGGTAATCATCATCATCACCATCCTATTTATGTCCCCACTACTGGGGCACAGACCTTCCCAATCGATGGAATAGGGAGATTTGGCCATAACAACGCGAGCAAAGTCGGTTTGGTGGATGCCAACGACTGCAGATGCAGCCGTGACCAACGGCTAAACGTGCCTTCCGAAGAACGGAGATGCTAGAAAAAATAAGTTTTTGGTCACCCATCCAATGACCTTCAAAGGGAAGCAAAGTGTATATATATAATAAATGCCTGAGAACCAAAACTATTGTCTTCACTGAACCGAAGCGAGGGCAGGTGACGTGTTAAAAATAAATCAGAAACCCTTTGATTATAAGTAACGCCTAGATAAAACCATGCAAATAAACCACGCAACGAAAACGGCTCATGTTACGAGGATATCTACCATATGTAGTACATATTTTTTCGGCAGTTCCATGCAGTTAAAACTGTATATAATTAAAGCACAAACCTTTTCTCTCAGTCCATATTTAGCACAGAAAAGTTCTTCTTCGCCCTTGACATAGGCATATTCGGCCGCGCCAACCACTCGTAGCAATACTCCTGGATCACCAAGTAGCAAGGTGTTGCCAGATGCCAGCCAACTGTCTGGTTTGCCAGTCATTACCTAGAAATATATATAACGTAACTTTATTAAAATCAGTCAAACTTTTTTCTACTTAGATTTATACGAAGGGCTGACAGACTTTGTCCTACCCGATGTATATATCATAGATATAGAACCCAACTGCAGCGTTACCTGCTGAATCCAGCTTTGAATGAAAGCCATCCAGGAAACTACTTAAGAGCCCTTTTACAAAATTGCGCCGTTGCCGTACTAATCGGCGCGTAGGTTTTCACTAGTATATATTGCATTTTACGGGTGATGTTTCGAGTCTTATAAAATAATCAATAATGAACTAATTCTAAAAATATATACATATTTTAGTAGTTCATTGATGGTAGATTAGTTTTATGAAAGTTTTTGATAGTAATTCTATTTAATTCAATATGAAAACACGAGGTAAACCTGCATTATTTTTTAGGAACTCACGGAGGTTAGATGTTTTTTTGATAATTAATGAGATGGAAAATCAAAATTCTAATACATTATGTTGCAACAAAAACATATTTCTGATGTCGTACTAATTAATTTGATCTAATTTATTGACCAATATTGAGAGATTTAGGCGTTTGAAGTTGTGCATATTATCATTTTTTCTGTAAACTAGCTGCAGTAGAACGATCAGTATGAAAAAAGGAAAATAGTATTTGAAAATATTCTACATTAACTTACAATAGGAAAAATAAATCCACTGTTTACTTCTATTGGAAATAGTCAAAATATTTTCTAAAGGGGAAAACAAGGCGCTCAAAATTTACGATTTTTTGCAAAAAATGTGAAAGGGCTCTTAAATAGCATATAAAACTTCACCGAAATCGGTCCAAATATTTAGATATACTCATTAAAAAGAGTTTAGCAACAGAACACTTACCTCTTGCACAGTCAATGCGGACACCAAAGCAATGGTGTAAGGCAGCAAATTGAACTGGTGACTGAGTGCTAACATTTTCCCATATCTCGGCAGTAGAGGGAACGCGGACACGGCCTTACCTAAAGGCGTCACTTTCAATACCTGAATAGTAAAATGAAATTATTAACTTCCACGTTCGGAGATCGAACACGCTAACCACTTGCGTCTTCGAGATCCTCAATAAGTATCGTTAATATTCGTTGCATGCTTACCTCGTCTTCGTCTTTCCTCTTATTCTTCGACTCGATTTTCTCTAATATACCCAGGGTTTCTAGACGTTTCTCCGACAATCTTAATTGCAACCTATCTGGTGCAGTTGGGAAAGGGAAATTCACTACCTATAACAAAATAAAAGAACAATTAGTCATTTAAGTCAATAAAATTTGTAATATTTAACTGTTTCGTAACTAGTGTTGGGTAGGACACGACTTGAAAAAGAGTTTGTAAGAGTAGCCTCTTTTTTGTACTGAGCCAGTACAATGTCCCACTTCAAATGAGGCGAGGCGTACTGAAGCTCGGCAATACATTTAAAGTGACGAGTACAAATATGACATTGAGGCGTACAGAAGCTCGACATTACGTTTGTGTGCACGAGTAGCACCTCCTCTACGCACTATCAATCTTGCTGGATCCAGCATGCAGGACAGCGCTATACACGTAAAAGAGATAGAGATACAGATGGATAGTGCGTAGAGGACTTAAATGAAATGTCATGCCTCGCTCTCTCTCAGACTTACGAAGAGTGAGTGAGTAACGAGACGCGACTATCGCGACATTTAATGTGAAGTAGTACATGTGTTGTTGTTAAAACAATTAAACAGGAGTGATTAAAGTATTATTTCTTTATTACAAAGTACAAATCAAGCAGCAAACAACAGTATCAAATATAGCGTACAATAGACAGAGAGCGAGAGCGAGAGAGAACATTATACATTTGTCCTTGTTTAAACAGCCACAGATTATGTAACTTAATGCTGAGCTTACATATACTAATGGTATTGACATATCAATACCAATCTCACATAACATCTCCCCTTTATCAAATAAGAATAAGTGTAATCATTAGTTAGTTACTTAAGATATAATTAATATTAATCAACAAATCTGCTAGGTAGTCTAACCGATCTCCCAGATCTAGTGACTCTTACAATGTCCGACGTATTATTTGAAGTTTGTGGTGGTAAAGCTTCATGATTCTCACTGTAACTCACATTACCACTATCAATATTATTTTCAGGACCAGGTCTAGTGACTCTTACAATGTCTGTCCTATTATTTGAAGTTTGTGGTGGTAAAGCTTCATGATTCTCACTATAACTCACATTACCACTATCAATATTATTTTCAGGATTAACAAGCCAATCAGTATTTGATTTTACACTATTTTCCATATATTCATCATGATAGCAATCATGCACCTGCCTATTATTTCCTAAATTATCAAAGTCCCTGGTCTGTCTAGGTATAATATAATAAACATTTCTATTATACTTCCTTCCTTTCTCTCCCATTATTTTATACATTCTGAGAGTTATTCCTTTCTCTACTACAACACCAGGTTCCCAACACGATTGTGGCAACTTTTTAAACATAACTTTATCTCCTATTTTGAATTCATTACAGCAGCGCGCATGTTGATTATAATATTTTTTAGATTTAGATCTCAACTCAACTAACAACTTTCTGTCACTATGACATGTAATCTTAGGTCTGAGATAGTCAACTGTACAAGAAGGATTGGTCCTCAAATTCCTACTCATTAAGATTGATGCTGGAGAATGAACAGTACCCCTAGGTGTATTTCTGAAATTCAGTAATGCCAAAAACACATCTTCTTTAGAATCAAATGCCTTTTTAATTATAGTCTTTACTGATTTAACTGCACTTTCAGCTAACCCATTTGACCTTGGATAATGGGGGCTGGATGTTATATGTTGGAAATGCCATTGAGTAACAAATTGCTTAAACATATCAGAAGTAAAATATAAAGCTCCATCTGTGAACAATATTTTGGGAATACCATGTCGTGCAAATACACTCTTAATTTTATCAATAATTGTAACACTTAATAAATTCTTTAAACTACATACTTCTACATAATTACTTAATGCATCTACTAAAACAATATAATACTTTCCATACAACTCAAAAACATCACAAGCTACTTCCATCCATGGAAGTGGTGGAATGGGTTTGCTTTTTAACAATGATTTAGAATTATTCTTTTGATACTTTAAACACACATAACAAGATTGAACAAACTTTCTAATATCCTGATTAATTCCTATCCAAAATACACTGGATGCAGCTTTACTTATCATTCTATTTATACCTGGATGCCCCACATGTAGTTCTTTTAACATATGCAATTTTAATGAACTAGGAATTACTACCCTGTTATCTCTGAATAAAATGTCATCAACCACTGTTAATTCGTTACTTATTTGAAAATACATTTTACATTCATCAGATACATCCTTATAATATTTTGGCCAACCTGATTGTACATAGGACTTGACTTGTTGAAGTATTTTATCATTTTTATAGTGGCTATATATTACATTAAAATCAGTTTAAGTAATTGACAGTTGCTTATGCAATAAGGCAACTTGCAGTTCTAAATCATCATCAAAATCTCTACTTTCAGTGTCACAACTTTCTGCAGAAAAATCTCTTGATAAACTATCAGCTATATACATGTACTTTCCTGGTGTATAAACTAAATCGAAACAATATGGTTGCAACCTTAATAACATTCTCTGAAGTCTGACTGGTACTTTATGTAATGGCTTATTTATTAATCCTAGCAATGGTTTATGATCAGTCTCTATTCTCAATTGACATCTACCAAACACAAACAATTTAAAATTTTCAATTCCAAAACAGACAGCTAATAATTCTTTTTCTATTTGCGAGTACCTAGACTGGATGTCAGTCAAAGCCCGGGAGGCATAGGCAAGAGGTCTTCCTTCCTGCAATCAGGTTGCTCCTAAACCATTAGAACTTGCATCTACACTGAGGGTTAATTGTTTTGAACTATCATACAGACCTAATACTGGTTTACAAGTTATAGCATTTTTTAAATTATGTAGAGCTTTATCATGTTCGGGACTCCATATGAATTCTACATCATTCTTTAACAAACTACGCAGTATTGCTGTCTTTTCACTATAAGAGGGTATGAATTTAGATAAGTAATTAAATAAACCTAAAACTCTTTGTAATGACTTTTTATCTTTTGGTGTTTTTAATTCTTTTATAGCTTTTATTTTATCATTTGTTATAGACATACCATTTTTATCAAACATATGGCCTAGAAATTCAATCTGTGTTGTATTAAAAACACATTTGTTTGGATTGAACTTTATGCCAGAGTTTTTAGCAGCCTCCAGGACAAGTAATATAGTATTATACAATTCAGCTCGATTTCCAGCCCAGACTAAGATATCATCTTGATAAGTAGCTACATTACTAATACCTTCAAAAGTTTCTGAAATTATTCTGTGACAAATCTCTGGGGCACAGTTCAGTCCAAACGGTAATCTTTGAAAAGAATATCTTCCCCAATTAGTTTGAAAGGTGCAAAGCTTGATACTAGATTTATCTAAAGGTAACATCCAGAAACAAGACTGAGCATCTAATTTACAAAAATATTTCGCATTTTTTAACTTTACTGCTATTTCCTCAATTTTGGGAAACGGATAATGTTCCCTTTTAATAGCTTTATTCAGCATATTCTCAATGAGCTATCTTTCTTAATTACAACTACCATCTGGTTTACCCAGTCAGTGGGTTCAGTAACTTTTTTAATTATACCTTTGTTCTCCATTAAATCTAATTCTTTTTTAACTTGATCTCTTAACGCATAAGGCAATCTACGCGCTGGTGAAACAACAGGTACAACATTTTTGTCTACATGTATTTTTACCACTTGTGATACTAGACCTATTTTTCCATCAAACAAGTTATGGTATTGCTTTGGCACATAATGAGTGTACAAACAATTATTCTTAGTAAGAGAGTTAATTCTCATTATTAAATTCAAATCTTCTGCAGACCTTAGACCAATTATGCTGTCAAAGTTGTCTCTAGACACATAAAATTCAATAATATAAACTTTATCTTTGTACTTACAACTAATATAGCATCGTCCCACTATTTCCACAATATCTTTTGTAAAAGACCTGACCATGGTGTCATTCCGTAGTAATTTTTCTTTTTGAAAACCCAATGATAGGTAAAGCTGTAAACTTAGTAAATTACAAGCTGCTCCTGTGTCCACCTTAAAAATAACATTCTTATCATTAATATTAAGTCTAACTTTATACCATTCAGAATCACTAAATAGTTTTAAAAAGTTACCAGACTCGAGCTGCGGACACTCCATGCCGTTACCATCCTCTGTAACTGTGTTTAGCTGGATAGACCGTTGTTTGCAGACAACGGCAAAATGATTTTTCTTTTTACATTTATTGCAAAACTTTCCAAATGCTGGACACATGCCGTAAATATGTTCAAACCCACAATAAGTACATTTTAACTTTTCACTACTTCTGCCTTTTCTAGGTTTTGTTTTTATCAGATCAATTTCCAATTCTTTCTTGATATCAGGCACCATGACGTTCATTTCTTGGACTCTATCAGCTACAACTGACGTTGTTCTACATATTTCCAATGCTTTTGTTAGGGTTAATTTTTCGGTCCTCAATAGATTTTGTTGAAGATTTTTATCTTTAATCCCACTAACAAAGATATCTTTGATAAGATCTTCTTTGATTGTGCCTAACTCACACGATTCAGCCAAATTTTTCAACACCACTGCATATTGCTCGTAACTTTCAGTTTCAAATTTTTTTCGATTCAAAAATTTATACCTCTCATATGTAAGATTTTTCTGTGGTATGAAATGGTTATCAAACAATTTCAAAATTTTATCCAAGCCCTCAGTCGTTCTTTCCTTCGGATCAAACGATTCAAATACTGCGTTCATGTCGTCTCCCCCCGCATGTAGCAGTAACGCTATTTTCCGCTTTGCCGACGCCTCATCAAAATATGCCGTAACATAATTTAAATACCTTTTCTTGAACTTCATCCATGAAGTAGCCAAGTCGCTACTGTCTGCGGCGTCAAAAGGATCCAATAAATTCAAATTAAGCATCGCCTTCGCCATTTTGATTCGTCTTTCACACCAAATTTCAATATACCAAGTAATCCAAACAGTTTTACAGCATCTCTTGTAATCCCACCGCTGTCACCATGTGTTGTTGTTAAAACAATTAAACAGGAGTGATTAAAGTATTATTTCTTTATTACAAAGTACAAATCAAGCAGCAAACAACAGTATCAAATATAGCGTACAATAGACAGAGAGCGAGAGCGAGAGAGAACATTATACATTTGTCCTTGTTTAAACAGCGACAGATTATGTAACTTAATGCTGAGCTTACATATACTAATGGTATTGACATATCAATACCAATCTCACATAACAGTACATTTTAAAATTTTGAGCCGCTCTTACATTTTGACGTCATGTCCGGGACAAATGTACCGCCTCTTGTAAGTCCTACTCAACACTATTCGTAACATATTTCACTCGTCGGTCGGGCTCTGGAAATATACTTATTTATCAACATTTTGTATTGAATAAAACAAAAAATTCAACCAAAATAAATCTGCTAATGTTAAAACCAAATAGAAACCTCTAAAATATTTGTCTCGTGACCGTTTGTATTAGTAACCACTAAGCAATAATGGTCCGAAAACACATCCTTGGGGAACACCTATAAAGCCCTTTCAACTTATCAATCCCCATGCTTCGCATCGTGACCACCAAGTCGTCGAATAAGAACAAAGATGGCCCCAGCACTAAAGCTTGAGGAACATCTAAAAATCCCACTCACTTTATTCATCCCAATGCAACGCAGGGTTACCCGCTTCAAACCAGATAATTTTGGACCTAACAGTTCTCCTTGAGGAATACCCATTAAGTCACTGCAAATCCCCGTGCAGCCACATCCACAACCTAATCTTCTCAATGACAACCTATAATAAAAACAAAAATGGCCCCAAGACAACACCTTGGGGTACACCTATAAGACTACTCACGGCGCTACTGTACAGGCAGTACGCGTGACCGGCTCTCATTCTGCCCGCTCGGCCGGAACTTTACTCAGCGACTCCCTTTATGATGGAAATGATACCCGACCTGATGCTTTCTTTAGGCAATACTCAATGGTCAAGTGTTTCTATCCTGGTGCAGCCACATACACGATCTACTCTTTTCCATAAGTACAAATAAAAACAAAAATAGCCCTTACACTTAGGGAACACCCATTGGCCCACTCTGTTTACTACTATGCCAACGCGCCTTTATTCTCTTGCTTATAATGAGAATAATGAAGGGCCCAATACAGAACCTTCAGTAACACCTATACAGAACACTCTTGGGGGACCACTAAAAAACCTATATCTAAAACACTCACTTTATCTATCCCTCTCTTATCTTTGAAGCACGCCCATTGGTATTCTCTTTCTATCCCCGTACAGCTACATGAACAAACGACTCTTCCCATCACTTTCAAAAATATAAACAAAAATGGCCCCAAAACAGAACCTTGGGGTACACCTAAAATGACCACTGACCTTATCAATCCCCATGCATCGCATCGTGAGCACCAAGTCGTCGACCGGCCGCCTGCACAGATCGGGCGGGTGGTGAGGCACGCAATCGTGCTGGAACACAGCACTGCTGTAAAGGCGGTACGCGTGACCAGCCCCAACTCTGCCCGCTCGGCCGGAACGTTGCTCGGCGCTCGCTTGCGACGTCCAAACTACTCGCCAGGCACTAGCACCTGTTACGTGGTCGTACACTCTGCGAGGGAAAAGAATCGAATTTATTATTTGAAGTAAATATCCGCTGAACCGATTTAAATGAAATTTAGTTTAAAGATTGAAGACTACTTTGTCGCATATTTGACGACCTCCGCGGTCGAGTGGTTTGTACGCCGGGTGAAACCAGGCGCCAGGGTTCAAATCTTGGTGGGGGCAGATGTTTGTGTGATGAATACGAGCATTTGTACTCCAGTCATGGATGTTTAATATGTACTTCTATATAAATATATTTTTACTGTATATGTATTCTATCCGTTACCGTAGCATCCGATAACACAAGCCTTATAGTGCTTTGGGGCTAGGCTAATTGGTGGTGTTGGTAAAAATAAATAATACTGACGAATTACTTATAGATGAAGCGTAATTTGATTCCAAAAGGTTCCATTTTACTAAGAAGAATAACGTGTACGACAACAGCGAAAGCCTTTAAAAAAACAAAAATTTGTCAATATTGTATTTATATTACTAATCGAATACTTTGCATTATGGCTTCATGATAAGAAAAATTAGAAGTGTAACTAACCTCATCTTCTTTTTCCCGGTATCTACGACGTATTTTATGGCAGGGATCGTGAGAGAGGTCTCAGCCACGTCAGTGCTGACTACGCACAGCCGCGCCCCTGGCGGTGGGGTGGCGAAAACTCTCGCCTGCTTCGCTGAACCCAGCATAGAGTACAAAGGAAGCACCCATAACGGTTGACGGCAAGATTTGATCACGGCTGAAAGGCTGTCTTCTTCTGCGTCTGTGTGAGTTAAGATTTATGATACAAGAGGTCCAAGCACTAATTCTGACAGCTCCGTAATCGTATCGCATCGTCCTCCTTATTACAATATAAAATAAGGATACTAAAGTTAAACCTGGACTAAAACTGATGCTGTCACTTTTGTTTGCTAGAAAGGAGACAGAGTCACGTTAGGTTTAAGCCAAGACTAACTTTAGTCTGCGTTTTTGAATAAGGCGGTACAAGTTTTGTCACTCTAGGCAGGGAACCATCCATTGAAAATAACGAGGCAATCGAACTCATTAAACTAACATTCCTTTAGGTAGATTCCAAGTAACTAATAGGTGACGGCTTGGCGAAGTTGTCAATACTATTTACAAAAAAAGGCCCAATTGCACTTGGTCGTTAGCCTGTATACGATTGCCTATGGAATTCGGACAAACGACTAAGTATAAATAAACGGAGATGAGTACGCCCTTATTCGTTTTGTTTCCCACAATCTGGCATCACTGAGGTACGTTCCAACTAGAAAGCGGGTGCAGTTTCGATCGCCCGTGTTTCAGTACCCGTACATGAGTAAAACTATGTAAGTGTTGTTACGGGTGCCGGAAATCGAGTAATGTCTTTCGTGTACCGAATACGCGCTAACTACCAAGTGTAATTGAGCCTTTAAGCCCAACGAAAAACAAACGTAGTATCGTCAAGTTATAGTCTCATCTATAACATTGAAACATACCAGAATCACTAAGATGACCTTCACTTTCGTCATCATTATCAACCAGATCCGCCTGACCATCATCGGCGGGCATATCGTAATCGTCCAAATTGATTTTGGGCAATTTCTTCGTCTTCAACTTGGCTTTCCTTCTAGCCTTCCTGGCTCGCTTCATTTCTTTCTCCACCTAAGATGATTATGACGTTTGAATACAGTTTTGAAATGACTTCTGAACTATGCAACGAAAAGGAATTGATATGGAAGCATTACGCTCTTATAAAAGCCGCTAAAACAGGGTTCAAAAGTCATAAAACTAAACTTCAACACTAACGCGACACGCACATAGCCTAAATAAAACACTTTGACAAATCATATATTTGCAAATGAATTTTGGTAAGAGGATGTTAAACGAAAATCCCAACCAATCATACGATTGGCGTGTTGATTACAGTTTTTTCGCCCCGCCCATATAATGTCTACGTCGTTGGAAGTATGTTTATTATTTTTAGCTGCTTATGTTTGTCCCAAGGACAAAGCCTATTATGATGGAAAAAGAGATAATTAACAAGTGACAGTAAAGACTTCTAATGGCTATGGCCTACCTGCCATAAATTTATTGCCATACATTACAATATACACACATCAAAAGTGTCTAGGGATCAAGCATTTTTATGCGGATTTCTTGAGATTGAGATGTGGCTTTGTAATAAATTTATGATTTTATAAATTTATATGGATCCTTTTTGGAGCATTTCATAATTTGAATCAGGAACTGTGAATCAAATTCGAGTAAAAGATGAAAATCAGCTGTCAATATTTTCCCTATAAAAACATACAACGCATTGAAGACATTATTAGTGCTACTGTTTCCCTACTACTGATTAAAACCAACGTTATTATGGAGCGGCGACGTCATTTAAGCAGGGAAGAAATGCTCAGAGCCGTGGGAATGATAGAAGCTGGTTCCCGGCAACGTACTGTGGCTTTAGCTCTGAATACAAGTCAGAGTGTTATCAGTCGACTTTGGACACGATACCGAAGCACTGGTACCGTGGCTGAGCGCCATGGAGGACGGTATCGCTGCACCACACGGAGACAAGACCGATACATTCAAATCTTAACTCGAAGAGCTCCAACAATAACCGCCATGATGTTAGCCGTGAGGCTTCATCACTGTTCAGGGAACTTAATTAGCGACCAAACAGTCAGAAACCGCTTGCATGAAGTGAACCTTCATTCCCGAAGACCGCTACGGGTACCACCTATAGTAATGCACAATCGTAGGATTCGATATCAATGGGCTCTTGAACACAGAAATTGGGCAGAAGAACAATGGCGTTTCGTGTGCTTTTCTGATGAGTCTCGTTTTGGTATGAGACCGGATACAAGACGTATACGACACTGGAGAACCCCTGGACGCCAACAGCGATTAAAATCCTGCCAGGAAGTCCATCCTTATAGTGGTGGAACCATCATGGTATGGGCGGGTATTTGGATCGGCGGAAGAACTGAGTTGATTTGGATCAGAGGCAACCTCAACGCTCAAATTTATGCTGAGACGATTGTATCAGACGTCATCGTTCCTCTACAAGTGCAAATCGGTCCCTTATTTCAGTTAATGCATGATAATGCACGACCGCACACCGCAAGAGTTGTAAGACAGACTCTCGCCGCAGCTAACATCAATGTCCTGCCCTGGCCTGCTCAGTCGCCAGACTTGAACCCGATTGAGCATGCATGGGATATGCTACAGAGAAGAGCTCTGCCGAATATGGAGGGTATCCAGTCGCAAGAAGACCTTTTTTTGTTGTTGCAACGAACATGGGCGGCCATTCCACAGCGTGATTTGGATGAACTCATTTTGAGTATGCCAAACCGATGTTCTTGTGTTGTTAGTGTTCGCGGTAGAAATACGGATTATTAATTGTTTAAGTTACCCAATAAAATTTTAGAGAAAACTGTTATTTCAGTCTTTTTTTCGAACTTTTGTGTTAGTGGTTCAAATGTCAAAAATCCCTTTATTAGGAAAATGGCAAATTTCTTTATTAATGCAAAGGTGACTTGGTTTATCGTTACTGTGACAAACGAAAACACTTTATTTGATGAATCCTTAAAGAAAATTTTAATTAATATCAATCAGGAGAAAAGTTATTGCAAAAATATATGTTGATCCCTAGACACTTTTGATGTGTGTATTTGCCATAGATTAAAACTTTACGTGTCATTCAAAGCGTGGAAAGCTTAAAATTAATAAAATTTGGTTGCATGTCAATCAATTAACCAGTCTTTGCAAAAGTTTAAGTAACTTGGAAAACTTAAACCGATTACACTCCCTACATTACTTTACTGTGCCACTGACCTCCTCGCTTATCACACACCTGCGTGACGAAGCTTCGGGTGGCTGAAATAAGTACGCTGCTTCAGCTGCACATACAAATTTATCGTTTTCAACAACCTTTTTAGCGTATCAAATTATTGCCAGTCGCTATCGTCTAGCGTCTATAGACACGCAGCCCGCATATTCATTAAACAGAACTAGTTCAAACTTGTAACGCCGAAGCTTCATCGCGCAGGTGTGGGAGAAGAATCAATGAAAACTGAAATTAAAATTGATTATTATTATTAAAATTTTGAAAAAAAATATATTATAATGTTCAGTAAGTAAGAAAACGGGAATAATACAAGGAATACCCATTCAATTCTATATCTTATTTTGATAACTACTGTACTGTACTAAAATGTGTCTGGGTAACGACTTTGTAACCTGTATTCGCAATAAAGATGATTTGATTTGATTTGCCAATCAATTTTCAATTCCAACCACATACTAATTAAACTCATATTTACCTCATCATCATCCGACTCTATATCGTCCGGTTCCGAATCTAAAGCTGCATCGGCCTCGCTGAGTGGTATTTTCTTTGTTACCAATTTTGAGTAATCCATATCTTTGCGGTACGGGAATGAAGCCTTTAGTTTACGCACTAAATATTTTACCTAGAAAAATGTACTTTATTGTCCATTACATCCTATTAGTATTATAAATGTGAGAGTTTATGTGTTTATATGTTTATAACTCAATCGCGTAAAACTACTGAACCGATTTGGATGAAATTTGTTACTCATATATTTTATGACGTAGATGGAGGTATAAGATACTTTTATAACGAAAAAATGTTAGGGATCTGAGGTATCTCAAAAACCGATAGACAACGCGGACGAAGTAGCGGCCGACCGCTAGTATGAAATAAATACATTTTAGATTTGCCAACATTTAAAAGGCTTGTTTTTATATTATTATAGAAATATGAGTGGTAACTACAGTGCGAATTTGCATTAAATAGCAATAATTTGATTGCAAGAGTAACTCGTTTCCATTAACAGATCATACATAGTCTTCAAAACCAGAGTAATGCTTTTTTTTTTTCAACACAAAATTTTCGCGAATATCCTAGGGATTTTGAGAAAACGCGGATAATTAAACAATGGCGATGACATCGCTCAATCTTACTGTTAGCGATTTCTTTTTACTCACTACTCGTTTGGCTCGCTCTTCATGGTCACAACGCTAACTTTACCTAACCTAGTGTGAACCCAAAAACCCAATAATATTTATAATAAGCCAACATTTCTTATCGCAAACTTACTGAAACGTCTCACGTTTTCGCCTATCCTATTAAAACCTATCTGTTTTCAGAAAGATTGAAAAAAAATCCTCACCAATGTCTAATTAACCGCATTTTCGCAAAATCTCTAGGATTTTCGCAAAAAAACGATTTATTATATTATGTAAATTTTATACCTCTTGCTGCCCAGTGACAAATATAAGAATCCCTCCTTCAGGTAATCTGGTGTGTATTTTCACAGTTTTCCGATAAGCCTCTTTCAAATAATCCTTATAAGTGTGTTTATTGAAATGTACAGTCACTGGAAACTGTCTTGAATCTATCTGTACAAAGGAACATAATATGATTTGTGTCTCTTGAATAAGATAATTTAATTAACACCAATAAAAAAACTAATAAGGAATAAAAAAATGTAAAAACTTGAAGCTTCATTTATTTATTTTTTTAAGAAAATAGAAATACAAACAAATGTGATACTCCCTAACTCATAATTACTTATTTGCAAAGTCAACAGAACCTGTACTACAGAAATTAAATAAAAAAATATTGAAATGAGAATATTCTTTATTTAAATTAAGTTCATTTACGGTACGTATTTAAGTACATTTTAATTGCCCAAATATTTTTTTACGTACAGATGGCGATTTGACCTATGACAAGCAAACAACCTGTCACTTCAAAAGTGCGTTCTAAACCTACGGCTCTGGTGTAACTTTATACCCTGACGTTTAAATTTTCACGTAAAATATATGGAACTTAAGTCCAATTCAACATTTGTTGCGCCTGGAGCATAGATTTATAACGCAGCCCAAGTCTATCGGAATTTGACGGTTTCCCTTGTGACTTTGTCAGCTGTCTCAATTTGTTGTTATGGGCCATTCGATAAATAGACAGTTTTTTTTTCCCATTAGTAAATCTAATCTTTACTAAAAGCCCATACCTACCTTTATAACTGGTGGTGGTTCTTTAAACAGTCTAATATTCTCTGTGAAATCCTCCACTCTCAATGTGGCAGACATGATAATCAGTCGCAATGGATTTCCTCTTTTTCTTCGAAGCGGTACAATCCTAGATAACAGGCCCAAAAGAATGTCTGTATAAACGCTTCTTTCGTGAGCCTCGTCGATTATCACCACTGAATACTTGCTTAGGAGGAAATCTGATTGAACTTCCTTTAGGAGTACACCTGCACAAATATAAAATTCAGTTGCTGAGTTAGGATATTATATTAACAGGAATAATTGTTTTTTATTGCGTTTTTTGGAATGGTGTTCAGATATTGAACTCTTTTAAACCGGATTTTTACTACGGAATATAATGTAATGTATATGTATATGTCGTAAGACGAAACAATGGCGATGACATTTCTCAATCTTACTGAAAAAAGTAACTTATTTTATTTATTTTTTATTTATTTAATTCTAGACCAAAATCCACAGCATTTTCTTAATATAATACAGGTTTCACAATATAGTTTATCTTAATGCCAATTACGGATTTTCATTTTTTAGTTATAGCATATTAGTTTAGAAAACCCTCTACCAAACAAGGGTGAGATGTGTGCAATGCGCGCGCGCTATTGTACATGTATGTATATGTGTGTGTGTGTGTGTGTGTGTGTGTGTGTGTGTGTGTGTGTATGTGTATGTGTTTGTGTGTGTGTTTGTGTGTATATATGTATACATGTGTAAGTGTTTCATTTTTGTTTGTATATTACCAATCAACCAACAGACCTAAAAGTTGTTTTTTAAAAGATGCTTTACTTTTGCAAGAAAATATGTCAACAGCCGTGAAATTCTTATTGTATGTACTTTGCGATCGAAAATCAACTGAGTTTTGTGCATAGTTTGTGCGACATGTAGGAATTGCGAAAAAGTAAGATGATGTATGTCTGGTACGGGTAGTGGGTGTGTAGAGTGTTAAAAATGAAGAGGCAAGCTCAGTGAAGTCTATATTCCCATTGCAAATGTCGTAGAGAAATGTCATATCGAGCATAGTGCGCCTGTCTTCAAGAGGGACCCGGCAGTCCGGGCAGTCATTTCTTTTTCTGTAATTAAGATGCTTAAAAAATTTTGACTGTATCGATTCTAAGTCGAGCAAGACAAAACTTTATTTTAAATCAGATAATAACAAGGCGTGTACCAAGGAAAATTAAAGTTCAAAGCACAGCGCTGAGTAGACGTAAAGATAGAGGAATAGGAAAGACCAAGTCTAGGATTCAAGCTGGGCGGCCGTCTAATACAGAACGCAGAACTAAACGAAAGCACAACTTAGGCCAGAATGTTAAAATGAATGTCCGTAATGCGCGCTAAATTAGTATTTTTAATTTTATAATTACTTTATTTTTAAAGTAACTAATAAACGTTTTTTATCCACTTTTGTTCTCGTATAATTTACCTCAATCTCTAACCTATAAAATAAACGTCCCTTTATCTGATACCGACCCAAACGAATGTTGCGGTTGGGTATATTTTGAAATCCTTAACACGACGGTTCACATTTTTAAAGTATGCTCAAAACGAATGTTGCAGTCGGGTATATTTTAAAATCCTCAACAAGGCGGTACATATTTTTATGGTATACCCGAACTCAACACTATAGAGCGTTGTGTGAAGGTATAGATTCCATATAAGCGGCTGTACCACAAGGGATATTGATGTCTACCACCAACATTTACTTGTGCCACATGCTTATTTATTAACTTATACATGATATCATAAAAGTTTAGCGCAGACGCCTGATGCAAAACAAGGGACCAATCGAAAGATGAAAGTCATCGTTAAGAGCAGAGTAATTCGCTTTACGGTATTGATATTTTTTACATGTAGGTATTTTAAGGGGTGGTATAGTTATATCTGAGGCGTTAAATAGTAAGGCCGGGTGAAATGTATCTTCCTCAACTAATGGACTACAGGATCTGTCCAGAGCTGCGGGAAAGTTAGCAAAAATTAAATCTAATGTATTATTGTGTGAGTTAATGATCGAGTTATAATGATAAAAGCCGTTGTAAGACATCGTATTAATCAGTTTCGCAGCTGAGGTTTGCACGTCCACAGATCCCTTTTTTAAGAAATTAGGCCTACCAGTAGACCACTCAACATACGGTAAATTGAAGTCACCAGCCAAAAGAATGTAGTCATCAGAGTGAGTTTCTGTAACATGTGATATAACGTCGAGTATTATTTGTATACGGGTGGGAATAGCTCGATCGGGCGGTAAATAAATCACAGCAATATGCATATTTTGCTTATCGGTTCCGAGAGCGCGCGAGGGTATAGTAAACCAAACGCACTCGACTTCGTCATGCCCCCACTCAGGCCGCGGGCGCGCTTGCAGCCGCGCGGCACAGAGCGCCATCACTCCGCCGCCGAGCGCGCCGCGGTCCCGACGAATAACGTCATAGTTACTGTCGCAGAGTTCTGAATCTAGTATGCCACCGCATAACAACATCTCAGTCAGCAAAGCCACATCAAATTCGGTCAAAAATGTGTTGTTAAAGAACGAGTTAGTTTTAGTACGCAGCCCTCTTACGTTCTGATAGTAAAAATTTAATCGATTATGTGACGAAGCCATTGCGTATTAACCGTGTTTGAATAGCTGTTATTTATAAGCGTACTAATGTATAAGAGTGTATGGTTGGGACAAGATAACGCAAGAAAAAATGTGGGTGACTGCGAATAAACATAGTGGCGTTCGAATACGGAGTGAATCCGAGATTGTGTAGACTTTGAACATTATAATGTAACCCGGCAAAATAACAAAACAATAACAATAATGACTTTACAGTGGACACATTACATGCAGAAAATTTGTTAAACATCTTAAAAATGCTCAATTGCGGTATATATATTAAACGTAAATGTTGAAGATGGCATTGGCACCAGTCGTTGACATAAATACTTTCAATGGCAATTTGTACCATAAATAGTTTATATAAAAATGTTTGAGTACGTCGTTGGTTGAATGAGGTGTATAGTGTGTGATGTGTTAGAATAAATATGACTTTAGTAGTTGAAATTAGTGTAGTAGTAGTTAAGTTAGTGGGGAAAACTTGTCCAAGTTTTCCCCACTAACTTAACTATGTCGTCCTCCCATCTTTTGAGTGGTTTTCCTTTCTTTCTCTTTCCCTCAACAGAATTATATTCTCTCTAAAATTATTAAAATTGTAATTTATCGTAACCTCAAAGAAAACAGTACCATCTGTCATAAATTTGATTTTGGTCTCTTTAGTGACATTTCCTTCAAATCGCATCAGGTAGGAGACTTCCTTGCTACTCAGGCCTAATTCGTGGCCTACTCTAGCCGCCATAGCAACAGTTGCAACCCTTCGCGGTTCCGTTACTGCTATCATTTTACTATGAGTGTAGCCCGCTTCATACAAAAACTGGGGGATTTGGGTTGTTTTTCCACTACCTAAAAAATAAACATTCAAAAGGTAAGAAAATTAAGGGCTTCAAGCCAACTCTAGCCGCCATAGCTACCGTTGCGACCTGTCGCGGTTCAGTCACCGCTACCATTCTACTCTCAACTGTAGCCAACATTTCAATATATATATAATATTTAAACAGTATTAAAAAAAAAAGGAGTTCAATATAACATTAATAAATATTGGTTTCAGAAGAAACTTCTACAAAGCATTAGAAAACTTTGGAAAAAAAAACATGCGACCAAATTGTTATGGTGTGGAACTAGGAATACCAATCCATTTATATAATATAGATAACACTTTGGAATGTATAATATTTATTGAAAATACCTGTTTCACCCGCTACAATCAAAAATTCATTTTCATTCACCAACTCCATTATTCTCTGTTCTTCACCTAAAATTGGCAATTTAAGCCTTGCCACCTGAACTTTGGGATTTCTGTTCACTTCCACATGTTCCTTAGGGTGTTCTAGTAGAGGTTTTTTTACTACTGTTTTAATTCCTTCAGTGTTCCTGTCATTCTTTGGTTTGTTGGCTTTAATATTTTTTAAGCTATTTTTATTTTCAACCTCTGGTATTAACCGACTACCATTAATCTTTGAACAATCAGAATCTTCTTCTTGGATACATTTTGTTTCTCCATTTTTTATTGTACCCATATTTTGATCAGTACTTAAATCTATAATTTCTAAATTATTCTTATGTTCATGATCATTTTCTATGACTTCTGATTCATCATTATCATCATCAGATTCTGAGCTGACTTCCTCATCTGACGATTCTTGTAATCCCACAACATTTGGATCATGTTTAGCCTTTTTTATTTTATCTAATTTGTCTTGTTTCAGTAGACGTAGACGTTTCTTTGCCCCTATAATTGATTGGAAAAAATTATAATTTAGAAATACCAATATTAAATTCCAATAATATCATAATTTCACTTGGCAATTTACCTGCAATACTACTGAACTTCTTTTCAGTACTTTCCTGAGCAATAATTGGAATTTCTGCATTATATTCTGTTAACCTTCTGAGTCCAAGTGTCTGCATTGAAGAAATTGTTGTCATTTGACTGACTTCATTAGGGCTTGCCTGGACTTTTGATAAGGATTCTAGTAAAGAAGCTCTCTGTAATTTTGATAAAAATAATCATTATTTTGTACATTATATTATTAACTGTCTGTTGTCTGAGAGAAGAAATTTTTTCCTAGCAACTTTTATTTTTTCTCTATGTATCTTCTGAACTCCTTCCTTATTGTCGGAGCTATTCAATAAATAAATCATCTTTAACAAATAAAAGCTAAGTCAGGCCTATGGTACACCCATAGGTCTGACTTAGCTTTTATTATTATATATATAATTTTTATTAGCAAAGCTCTGCCAAACTCTCAAGGGCTATATGCCATGAATGTATTAATTTTACGCAGTCAAAGTAGCAGGTATACCTCTATTATATTTTCATTTATAATTCTAATAAACTATGCTGATACTGTGCTAAAAAAAATGTCAAGACAAAATGATCAACGGTTCATCCATTCAAAACAGCTCTATAGTAAGCGAAACAGTATAGATTTATGTGGCAAATGCACTCCGGGAGCCAAGTGCCCAAAAAGAATGGCAGGGACTGAGGAAAAATTACCGTGCATCCGAGATCAACAACATTGTATACAAAAACTATGCAACAGACAATATGATATAGCCCAATATTAGAAAATAAGATTTAATATATCAACACATAGGCATATTATAATACTTACATTTTCTTTCTTCTTTTTCTTTTCAACAATTTTTTCCAATCTTTTCCTTTGTGCTTTGGATAGAAACCTTGTTTTAACATTTTTCTCAGCAACAATCTCAGTTTGCCGTTTCTTTGAAGGTAATACCAAGAGATTACTTGCATCCGATGATCCATATTCATTTTTGCAAAATTCTACCTTAATCTGCAAGTGTAAAGTAAATTCATCCTAAATAATATTTTCGGTTGCAACTGTACTAAATATGAAATTTAATAAGGTAGGTATTTGGTAAATTTTGTTTCACAGTTACAAGGCGACACTCAGACCGAAATTTATGTATTGTAGATCTATTTTGGTACTTTAACTAGTAGTACGGCATGCTGTTTCACATTGTACGATATTATGGTCCGAAACTATTCGTGAACGAGTAGACTCACACTAGGCCCATGGGCCAAGAAAACTACCGAAAGACGGAGAGACACAAAGTCGGTACCTGTTTGGTTTCCGAATCGTCTATATTTGTTTTCACCACTTGCCGTGCCTTAGCGTTACGCCTGCTTTTCCCCATGTTTGTAAAAAAGAACCGATATTATATCCTTTAGTTTACATCGAAACACTGCGGGATAATAATAAAACATCCACTGAAATTATAAGAGTTATTGTTCTATGAAAAATCTCGTAAAAAATAAAAAGTGAAAAATTAAAACGTGCTTTTGTTGTTTTTTTTTTTTTTTTTTTTTTTAATTTATTATAGCTTTGGCTGCTAGGGCCATCAGCTAAAACTTAAGACTACTACTAAAACTATTACATATTTCTTTTATACAATAGATTAAAATGCTAAACACACAGAAAACAAGCAAGAGACGTCTACAAATATAAATGAACAAAATACTTAAAACCTATTTTAACAAAAATTAAAAGACAAAAATTCTATTTTTACAAAGGGCCAAAAGTATTTACATAAAAGTTATGAATTACATTATATAAGTTTTCTAATTTGAGTAAATCCTGTACAGTTTTTGGCATTTCATTAGTTTTCAATAAATCTGTGAGTAAGCATATAAAATGGAGTCGCTGAATATTAAATTTCTTACAATCAAAGAATAAATGATGGAGATCACAATACTCATAGGTACAATATTTACAAGTTGCATTATTGCTTAACCTAAGACGATGCAGATGGGATGGAAATTTACAGTGGCCTAATCTAAGTCTACATAAATCAGTAATAAAATTTCTGTTTGAGTATGTACATTTTTCAAACCAGGATTTGGTACTGGGCACATTGACAATCTCAGCATGCCACTTGCCCTTAAGTTGCCGCGAATTTAATAGCAATGTAGACCAACGTCTAATTTGATTATCTTTTAGGCAAGTGATAAAATCGCTATCTGGTACCATATACTCTGTAATGGTAGTGATATTTGGAGCTGAACGGGCAAGCTTATCCACCAGCTCATTACCTAATATGCCGGAGTGTCCCGGAACCCAACATAGTTCAACAATAATATTGAGGTGTGCCAATAATTGAATTAGATATCTTAATTCATATATTAAGTAGTTAATTTTTTTACCAATATGCTTTCCTTCTATTGCTTGTAATGCACTCATTGAGTCAGATAATATTATGAATTTGGAATTCGGAACTGATTTGAAATTATGAGATATATATTTAACAGCATATATCATACCTAAAATTTCGGCAGAAAAAATTGAAAAATAATTGCTACACGAATAAACCTTGCCAATTCTATTACAACTGTCGTAGAAAGCAAAGCTGGTTCTGACGTTGTTTTTAGAACCATCAGTGTATATTTTAACATAATCAACCTTTTCATTAAGAAACTCGTAAAAGTCTTGCTTAGAATCGAATCGAGATATTTTAACTGAAACATCAAATAGTATTGACTGGAAGTTGTATGTAAAACAGGGAAGTAAATTAGACCAATGGATAATGTCTTGGAATTCAAAGTTTAGGTATGAAATCGATTCGCTGATGGAAGGCATTGCTGATATTGGGAGGATATTATAATTTGGAATAGAAAAGTTTTGTAAGTATTTTTTTATCAAAACATTATCTCGGCAGATTAAATTCAAGCAGAATTTTTCTGTCAAATAACTTCTCCTAACGAGTAAAGGTGGTATTCCAGATTCTACTTCCAGGGAATTTATTGGAGATGACATCATGGCCCCCGTAATGATCCGTAGAGCTTTATTTTGTATGACGTCAAGTTTCCTAAGCAGATGATTAGAAGCGTCGACATAAAAATAGCTTCCATAGTCAAATTGACTGCGTATTAAAGAAATATACAAATTTTTCAATATTTTAGGGTCAGATCCCCAACTAACTCCAACTAAAGATCGTAATATATTTAAACGCTGTTCCGCTTTCTTACAAATATAGGAGATGTGATGACTCCATGACAAATCTGAATCAAGCATGATACCTAAATATTTTTCCGAGGTTTTAAATGGAATTAAAAAATTATTGTAATAAATACGCGGATTTACTGGGCAACTATGCGCAAAAAGCATGACTGAACTCTTTTCTACACTAACTTCAAGTTCTAGATGTTTATTGAAAAACTCACTTATAATATTAAGACAGTTATTCATAATAAGTTCTCCTTGTAAAAGATCAACACAATCCAAGTAAATAACTATATCATCGGCATACAAAGAGTATTTTACATTATCTGGGATAGTTTTCATTAATGTAACAAGACTTAAGATAAAAATTAAGGGCGATATTACTGAACCTTGAGGAGTCCCCTTAAAAGAAGTACATGGGCCATAAATGTTATTGTTAATTTTTAGAGATATGGAACGGCCGTTAAGGAAATTAAAGATCCATAATAAAACTGAACCGGGAATGCCGAGCGTTTGTAATGTTTGAATTAAATATTCATGTTTAATATTATCGAACGCGCCTTTTATGTCTAGAAAAACAGCTAAAGTTATTTTATTTTTTAAAAGATTATTTTGAATATCGCCTATCAAACAACCAAGATTGTGCATCGCGCTTCTTCCCTTTCGGAAACCAAACTGATAATTTGGTATCAATGAGTTGTGTTCAATATACCATTCTAATCGATTTTTTAACATGGTTTCGAATAATTTCGCAAAGCAAGAAGTTAGGGATATAGGCCTATATGACTCAGGATCTTTGCAATCTTTATTTGGTTTTAATATTGGAACAATAAATTGTGTTTTCCATGTAGTAGGTATTAATTTATGTGACCATAATTGATTGTAAATTTTAAGGAGAATCTGTTTTACATTTTTAGGTAGATTTTTAATTACAATGTACGGAATATAATCTGGACCAGGAGACGTATTCTTTTTGTTAATTAAAGCAGACTCAAATTCGTAAAAATCAAAAGGGTTCTGCAGCCATCTAGCAGATTCAGATCCTTTAGTTTTAAAGCATGACTCTAAATTAAAAGGAAAAGAATCATTGGTATTTGAAGAAGAGATTCTATTCAAAAAGGTCATTGCATTCAATGGATTATCCAATACAGTAGATTTAGAGTTAGCGCCTAGTTTTGCAAATTTAAATCTTTTAATATAATCCCAAATTATTTTGGATGGGGTTGTCCTATTGAAAGAGTTACTTAAATTGACCCAACTTGATTGTTTTTCTTCTGATAATGTTCTTTTCTTTTTAGCGTCAAATTGCTTATAAATAATGTAATTTTCTAAAGTAGGATATTTTTTGTATGAATACAATGCAAGTTTAGCCCTACTAACTGCTTCAGAACAACGTTCATTCCACCAAATAGTAGGTTTACGTTTTTTAGAGAGGCAACATTTTTTCGGGAACTTTACCAAAATATTACCTATGATATTAAAGAACGCATTATAACTAGCTAGAGGATTTGACTTTATTGAGAAAGAAGAGAATCTATCATTACACAAATCATAAAATTTTGACCATTCTATTTTATGAAAGTTGATATTGGATAAACAAGGTCTGCAATCGGAAGAATTGTATTTGTTGTGGATGGTATTTTGGTTTGTTGTGGGCTTTGAAAAGTTAACAGTATTGTTATACAAAATGCCAATGAAAATCGGAAAATGGTTACTGCTTAGTAAATCATCGTGAACAGAAAATGAACAACTTGAACTCACCGCAGACGATGCAAAAGCTAAGTCCAAAACATTACCATTCTGACCATGTGGAGCAAATGTTGTAACTGTGTTGTCATTCAGGCATATAAGGTTTTGGTCATCTGCAAAGGAATGTATAATAGTTCCTCTTCTGTCAATGAATCTAGAGCCCCAGGAAGTGTGGTGGGCGTTGAAGTCACCAATTATTAAGTAATTTCTGTGAATAATTTGTGAATAAGATTGTACAAGCATTTGTAAATTGAATTTCCCATTGGGTGGGGGTGGAATATATACGCAAAGGACATCAATATAGATTGAAGCTAGTTTAATGGAAATCAATATATTTTGAAAGTGATAAGTAGAAGGAGAGTCCAAAATTTTATAATCATACTTATCTTTTATAGCTACTGCAATGCCTCCATGAGGACGATCTGAATCACGTCGAAATACCTTGTAACCTGGTAACTTAAACATTTTAGTGTTATTTAACCAGGTTTCATTTAAAAGAATTAGGTCTATACTAGAGGGATAACTTACAATAAAATGTTTCAATTGGTCTAATTTTTGTACAATACTACGGCAATTCCAATGCAAAATGTTTAGTTGTTTCAAATTAGTATTATTATTATCCATAAAACTATTATGTAAAATTATTAATAAGCATTTCTTTTATGAGTTTAGATGAGACAGTAATATCTGAATGAGAGCCGTTTCTATTTACAACAATTTCTACAAGTGTTTTTGTTAGTACATTTAAAACATCATCAGAATTAATAATGTCTGTGTATAACAATCTTTTACGGGGAGCATTAAGCAATTTAATGGGGTTATTATAATTTGTAGAGGTTGTGGGAAAATCATCCGGTCTTGAGGAAGGGAGAATTGATGGTGAGGGTTTTACCTTGGCAGCCACAGTAGAATAACTAAGTTTACCATTAATTTTTGCTTTCAATTCTTGATTTTTAGCAGCTTTCACTGGGCAAATGTTGCTTATAGCCAAATGTGATCCTTTACAGTTAACACAAATGACATTATCTTTGTTTTCACAGTCTTTGAAAAAGTGATTTCCTGAACATATGGAGCAAACTTGGACACTCTTGCAGGATCCTCGACCATGTCCAAACTTATAGCAGACAAAGCATTGCCGTATTGGTTTGATATACTCATAGACGTCTAACCATATATAATCATAAGTAACGTGATCTGGACGGGTTGAACTTAGAAAAGTCAGCAGAACAGTAGGGGTAGGAATAAACAAGCCATCAGCATCTTTTCTCATAAAGCGCTTTACACCAATTATTTCAAAAGTTGACTTAAGCTTGATTAATAAATTTTCTTCAGACAGTTCCTTTGGTGCTTTTATTATTCCCAAACATTCTAAATGGTCATAGGGTATTTTTGCTTGCAGTCCATTTTTTTCAAGCATCTCCTTATTCAGAAGAAAACTGTTTGCATCTTTCTTGGTAGCAAAGAAAACTTTAATAAGGTAATTTCCTATAGCTTTTACATACATCAGTCCTGAACAAGATTTTAATAACGCATTTAATTTCATAATGTCGAGCTTGATGTTTGGTGTGGTAGATGATACTAAAATAGGGTATTCTTTTTTGCTATCCTCAGTGTATAAGTGGACGTAATCTTTGAATAAGCCCCTTTTACTACGGCTAAAGTTAGCCGCCATTTTTTCCGGTGGTGCATCCTCTTCTACATTCAAAAGTTTTCTTTTGGGGGCAGAAATTCTGCCCCCACTTTCGTCACTCATATTATAAAAAAAAATATAAGTTAATTGGTTAAAATACTTAGGTTATGATAAATTTAACGGGAATGAAGGGCTTTCAAGGAATTTAATTCAAAATATTTTCAAAATTCCGCTTAACTCTTTGAACGTTGGCGCCCTTTTTTTCTGCTTTTGTTGTGACATCCTAAGTGACACCAATTCATTTTTTTTGTTTTTTTTTTTTGGTAAGTTCTCCCTTTTCAGGGAAGGCAAGGGGAACAATGCCCATACAGCCTAGTCTTAAGTTAAATTATTCTGTTTTTCTTTTTACATTAGAATGTCGGTGTGACGCATTCTAATGTTTCTTGAAGTGTTTGGCACGAAATGTATCGAGCTGGCTTTCTCGATAAGCTTCTGTGAGGTAGTCAATACTACAATAAAATTCTCACGTCCACTTGACCGGAATAGCGTATATTTTAAAGATTCCACTAATTCTTCAGTTGCGCAGATGGTTGTAACACAAAATCACACCAATTTTATTTCACACTATCCACTATGAACAAATTTAAGAATAATTAAAATAAGACGCCAACCGCACTCGATGAAATCCCGCCAAAAACCTCATTTTTTTTTGGTTTAAAGTTTTACAGCCGTCAATTTCTCCATTTCGGCCAGACACCAATTCAAAAACAGGGATGCCCGAGCTGAATCGATCTTTACGAAAATCGACATACGGAAATGTTATTTATTGATTCTTAGAATCGATTCAATAATGTACTTTTTTCCAGGTCGAATCGTCAGAAGTTCGTATGAAAAAAACGAATGACATGAAAATACAAAATATATGAACGGTTACTACTACTACTACTAGATAATTATATTTTGGAATTTTGACACGATTCATTTTAAATCTTTAAAAAATTAACATTTTGTAAGGATCCTGGCCACCCTGTCATAAGTAACGTCAAGATTGTACCATGTAGCAGCTTATAACGTAAACAATGGCAAATGTCAATTAGTCCATTCATGCATGATATTCATAAAATCATGATGAAGTTATCATACCTATTTATGATTTATTCTTCTTGAAATAAAAATCCCTCAAAATACCTCATAATGTAAGATGAACAGAATTATTATCACTGCTTTAGTTACCTATTGAATAGAATAAATTTGATGCTTTGGCGATATTAAATAGATAAATATACTTCACTGTAAACAATTTTAAACTCAAAGGTAAGGAAACGTTTATTGACGACGTGAATAGTTGTATCTCCAAGGTAGCCCACTGGTACAATGATAATAATTTATTACTAAATGAAGGAAAAAAGGAAATGTATGAAATTTGTATGACCTAATCTAAAAAAGTTATAAATCAGTTTGAATGTAAAGGATAGGAATGTGGGTCTTGTAGACACCACAGTATTCTTAGGGATTACTTCAGATTCTAAGCTTCAATGGGGCCCACGTATTGATAAATTGTCAAATAGACTTAGCTCTGTAGCATATGGCGTAATGAAGATACGCCAGTTAACGGATGTAGATACGGCCAGATAAGTGTACTTTACTTATTTCCATAGTTTAATGTCGTACGGAATTTTATTGTGGGGAAACGCCGCCGACATTCAAACTATTTTCGTGCTGAAGAAGAGAGCTATTCGATCAATTTATAATCTTAAAGTTAAGGATTCCTTAAGAGATAAGTTTAGAGAATTTGGCACAATGACGGTCGCATCACAATACATACACGATTTATAACTAGTAAGAAACAGTACTTATTAGTTTTTTTCTTAAAAACAGTGATGTTCACACACTTAATACAAGGAACAAAAATACACTAACTTTACTTGCTACTAGGCTTCACAAAATCAATAATTCATTTAAAGGTCTTTGTGTTCACTTATATAATAAAGTCCTAAGCAATATCCAAGAGTTATCCATAAATTAATTCAAAAATAGTATAATAACACTTATTACAAAGCGTTTGATTTATATTATATACAAAAATGCTTGGGTTATAACTGTCCCAATAATTCCAACAGGTTTTCTATATTAAATAAATCATGATTTTATTGACGTTGTTACAACAAAATGTTTTGTAAATGTTGTTACATTATACTTTTGTGGAGTTTTTGGAGTTTACTCCTTATGAATCGATTTGCATATATATATAAGGGGCCCGGTATGCGAAAAATGTGAGGAGTAAAATCTATCGATGAATGACCTCGTTACGTTTTTGGTGCTCAACCTATGTCGCGCAACTTTGACAAACAAAGATGACGGATTGACATTAATATTTTTTTTTAAATCTGAACTGAATTTACATATTGTTTCTGATAGAGCAATGGGGACAACGAGGTATGGTACAAACAACCATTGATGCGGTATTTTCACGATTCGTGAACCACGTATCTACGAACGTCCATGTGTCTTATTTTAGTTACCATAAATCACTTGTCACTGTAATTAATAATGCAGACAATGTTGATTTAATTAATATTTAAAAAATGATAATAGTCTGATAATAATAATTACATAATTTATCAACATTACTAATTATATATTAATGCACATCTGAAATTGACTATTGTAAAAAGTTTAATGTAAAATATTTCGTCGATTAGTTATAATAAATGTATATGAAATAAATAAATTTATATTTATATATGTATATTATTTTCATTAATTTGTTAATTTACCCTTTCATACAGTATCAATCTTTTTTAAGTTAAATAAACTCTTTTTGCGTCTGGTTAGACTATCGAACTTAAGAAGTAAACTCCAGTCGTGCGTCGGAGCTGACACACACATTTTTTTTTATTTTCACTCGTTTTTCTCAGAAGCTAAAAAAAATATATCCAATAACGAGTGGTATGGAAAAAAAATATTTGGACGATTCAAAAGAGTTGTAGGTACTATACATCCAATTTGAATATAGATATATTAATTACTGATTTCTGATAAATAAACATGGCATTTCCCAATCAACAATTATGTAATTGTCTATTATAGTAATTATTAAAAAAACGAGGATATAATAAATTCTAGTTTTTATCAAACGACTTACAATTATGTGCACAACATTCGTAACATGTTATTAGAATTTGGAGTCTGCCAGAGACTCACTACCACCCTCCATACAAATTTGAACCGTCTTCTTTGTATCCGGCCGTGGGCGAAGAGTGGACATAGAACACTCAAGCACTAAACGTCTTTTACGACCTAAGATTAATAAATATAGTAGAAACGAGTAAAAACTTCTCCTAGCATTGTCGTATCACTAATCAAATCATTTTTTTTATAAAAAACTTATAAATATTCTTTAACCAGCAGGATCGAAACTTATTTAGCATTCGACAATATCATTATAAATGAATTTCGCAGACCATGTCGGACATTGACCCCACATGCGTGACGTCTGTTATTCTTAACTCTTTGCTTTTTACGAAATCATTGTGATATGAACATCATCATCTCAGCCATACGACGCCCACTGCTGATCATAGGCCTCCCCCAAGGATCTCCACATCGATCGGTCCTAACGCGTAACAATCGGCTTCTCAAAATGAACATAAAGTGCATGTAATGGGATTGATTGGGAATTGGGAACCAATTTTCTCTCTTATGAATTTACTTTTACTTTAGGATAACTGAAAAGCTAAAGTTTATTATTGTTATTTATTTAAATTCATCGTTTTGTTTTAATTGTTTCGAATAATGATTATTTTTTCTATGAAAAACAATTTTATAACATAACTTTTCTAATATTGACTCATCTATACACATTGATATCGATGACAAGATGATCATAATATGCACGTACAACCTTAATTGACGCAATTCAGGGTTGCGTTCCAAAGCAAGGCTCAAGGTGCAACAAAATTTTCAAATCAAATTTGGCATACACTTATTAATTTTTATGTAGAAATTGAACGATAGCAGTTAGTAGTATGAGAAAATACAATAATTGCTACAATGCTGTTCACTGGAAAGCGGCAAAGTGAGTACTTTCTTATTTAAAATATTTGGAGTAAAAAGGACTAGAATTTCGAAAAACCACGAGTTTAATGTTTCTGGGTTCGTTGATGCAAATTGGGGCAACATAAATAAAAATCCTGTAATTAGTCATCTTATATGACCCATATATATTTAAAGTTTTTTACAGCGCCCTATCCACTGTTATTTATTATTATTAAGCCTTTGTTAGAGAATGAATTGATAAGTTCATGTATTTAAAAAGTATTTTTTTACGTGGCACAATTTTTTTGCAAATTTTCTTATGCATGTATTTTTCTAATTTTTATTCAATTTGGATACGATATTTCAATATTGATTCAGTGTCATACGATTCTGATTGTAAACCGATTCACGTGTTATTAATTAAATAATCGATGGAATGCAAAAGATTGGACACCCCTATCACCTATATAGCACAGATAACGGAGCTGGCTACGTTCAGACCTGCGCTCCAGGTGTAACCTTATGTTCCATACAATATTTGATTAATATCTTCGATCAACAATACCTTAAACTACTCATCTTATGATAGGTACTCAAAGTAACCACTACTAAAATATTATAAATTGTATCAGATTTAATAAATAAAAAAGGAATATAGGCTTATTACAAAGTGTCTGATTATATTACAGACAAAAATGCTTGGGTTTGAACTGTCCCAATCATTCCAACAGGTCTTCTATATTAAATAAATCATGATTGTATTGACGTTGTAACAACATAATGATTTGTAAATGTTGTTACATTATTCTTTTAATGTTGTGGAGTTTTCTTCGCTCGTTTTTCTCCGCAGCTAAAAAATATGTCCATTAACGAGTGGTAGGGAAAAAAATGTTTGGACGATTCAAAAGTGTTGTACTATACCTCCAATTTGAATAAAGATATATTGTTTCTAATTTCTGAATAAGATTTCGTTTCATAAGAGAAAAAGTCGTATGTGCGAGATTACATTTTGTTATTTGTAACCTTATTTCTCTGCGAGATAGTTGTTATTAGGTTGAACTTAAACTGTTTTAAAACATTTATCTTTGTTCATTGGGGATCGAATATAGCTGCATAGGTTTAAACATACGCGGACAGTTTTTAGCTTTGATTTTGTATGCAACCTGTTATCTATAGACTATAGAATTGTTAATCGATGATTATTATTAAAATTATAATTTTCAGGGTTAAAAGTTTCACCTGGAGCGTAGGCTTTGAACGGAGCCCTTGTAAGTGCCAGTAATATGTCAACGTCATTATCACATTTTATTTGTTTGTATTGATTGCTTTAACCTTAAAAAACTTATAACATAATATTTATTTCAATTTTTCGTCGGTGTTTTAGAATAAATCATAATGGCAGATAATTCCTGGTGTGAAATATCGCGACGCTGTGTGACTATTAATAAATATGAGGAGATATATGCAATTTGGCACGATTCTTATCTTACAGTGCATGCTGATAGATCATTGCGTATTTTAGAATTTTCACTTAATTTACGAAGTATTGACAAAAAAATTGATTGCATAGAATATGCTATAAAAGCTCCGAGAAGCACTCCTGCTTCTGAATTATTAAATTTCCCTAAACGCCAAATTACTGGCATAGATCTTGCTAAAATGACCATGGATCCAGCGTTGTGGCCTCATAGTGATAATATTGTACAAGAAATGTGCGACATTACTGCATTTGAATGGTCTCCAGGATGCTTACTATGGAACAATGATTATATTTTAGCTGTATTGAATAACATTGGACATGTTGAGTTTTACAGAAAAAAGAGAAAAATTTGGGTAGTTGCACTTGACTTATCGGCTCTACTTTGTGAACAATTTCAGGAAACCAGTGATCAAGACGAAACCAAACGAAAACGTCCAAGTGATTTAGAAACTATGGCAAAAACTGTCTACTCATTGGAAACAACTGCTATTTGTTGGGCACGAAACATAAATAGTGATAACTCAGCATTTTTTTTGACAGCTCAGAAAAACGGTGCAATTTTAATTTGGTCAGTAAGAGAAGAAAACTTTACAATCAAAGCAAAATGTATCAATAAAATAAATACTGAATTTAATGAAATAACTAAATTAATGTGGGTATGTACGGGATCAAAAGTATTTATTCCATGCAGTAACAGCGAAGGCCAATTATTTATATTAGAATACTATGTGAGCAATAATAAAAATATTACACAACACAAAAACCATGTATTATGGAATCACAAAGATAGAATGGTTATACAACATTGTAGCTATGTAACACTAGAAAATAAGATGATATTTATATGTGTTAAACATAGATTTTTAATAATACAGTTGCTCAGTAGTGAATGTGATGTTTTGTGCCAGATTACAAAAAATTTAAATGATTACAAAATATCTGGTATCTGGAGACACCAAAACCTCTTTTATGTCACAACTGCTAATGGTAGTGTGTTCCAAATAAATTACAAGCTTGTTGAAAACACTCTTGATATACAATATAATAAAGTAAATATTAAAGATTATAGCCCTTCATGTGAGCTACTGAGTGGTGGTTTCAGTAAAAATGGAGTTTTACTGACACTTGGAGTGATTGATAGAAAAATTTTGCATAGAAAACATGAAATGAAATTTGAAATAATATACTATGACCTACCAGATAGTGATTTTCCAGAGTTCTCATTACTACTAAATAATTCTTCAAAAAAGCTTACAAATTTTTTGGACTGCATAGAAAAACTACGATATAAAATTGTGAAGAGTAGGAGAATACCAAAATATGATTATAATAATTTATTGTTGGAAGGAGAGAAAGATGTTTACAAATTAAAAATTTTCTTTATTGTTCGTTTAATCTGTAATGTTTTAGAGGAAAATTTTAAAATAGCAAAAGGATCTCTACCAGAAATTTCTCTTGAACACATACGAGAAAAAATTGCAGTGGCTCATGCAAAAGCTATGTTAATCAATATTTATGAGAAGTTTAAAATTAATCAGTCATCGTTAACTAAATTTGAAACAGAGACTTTTGTTGGATGCAGAAAATATCTTGAGATTATTTGTAAGAAAAATAATAGTGATTTAGATATTTCAAATGATATTTTATATTCAATAAATAACGAATGTAACTACACATGCCAGTGTTGTGACAAGATAATGAATGAATTTTCTTGTGAAGATGGACATTTAAATGCCTTCTGTTCTGTGACATTCACACCCATTGAAAGTGATGATTACCTAATTTGTAAATGTTGTGGAGTAACTGCAAGTTCTGAGTTATCAAATGATAAGCCAATGTGTGTTTACTGTGATTTATACTTTGAGTACTCATAAGTTTTTTTTTATAAAATAGACAAATTAGAAAATAAGCCTGGTTTTATTTAAACTTTTTATTATAAAAGTTTCAAGTGTGAGTCAGATTCAGAGTCAGACACAAAGGGGACCCACCATATTTTTTTTAACGTCAGGAAAATGCGTTACGCATACCCCACCGCCTTGGGAGTGCGGCGAGATTATGTGGGACTCCTCCTCCTCTCGTCCACCCGCTCAGCCAATCCGAAGACTGGCTCATCGGCTGCTCGAGAGGAAGGGGGCGCTACCTACTAAAAACCTGACGATGCCCCTCACCTCACCGATGATGGGCCGTCACATCGTCGGGCGCAAGGTCCGCCATCAGGCGGCACCCCGCCCGGCGAGGAAAAGGCACTGGGTGAGGCCACGGGAACCCGTAAGGATATCTCCGTGACCTCACCAGCACCCACACCATACTATAATTTGATGTCTTTCATGAACATACAAGCAAAAGTATTTTTTTGTTTCTTGCACTTATCGTTACTGGATAGCCATGAGAAGCTCAATGGCGCACAGATGGTAAGCGCGTTCAGTCTGCGATCATGTTGTTGAGAAACTTTCGTATGGCCGGTCATTGGATGGGTAACCCTATAACTGATTATCTCTTATAGGGAAGGCCTGTACCCCAGCAGTGGTGACAAAATTTTAACAGATTTAACACGCGTACATTTTTTTAAATGTTCGCACGTTTTTTTTAAATACCGACGTATAGATCAGGATACACCGCTCAGCCGGGTCTTGGGGCGGCTTAAACATGGATGTGTCTACCTGCGCGGAGTAAATGTTTACCGCATGTACCCCTCCCTTCCTTCCACTCCGACGTGGAATCTACCTCCATCAAACCAAGACCTAGACGGTATGCTGGGTGGTGAAGCGTTCAGACCACAGAACGTAGAGCTAATCGGGCCATCATTATAGATACTGGAGTTTTCAAAAACGCTTTTTTGTTCATAGTCGGCTGCAAATCATTCATTTTTGGTTTTATGGACAAACGGACAGAACGAACACTATAAGGTAACTGCGACGCGAAGGCGACTTCGACTTCGTGAAAACAAACACAATTTTACACGAAATCGCCGCGCCGCGCCGTGTCGCTGCTTGTGTGCCCTTCTTCCTTCTCCTTTCAGTCAGTCAATCTGACTGACCTATTAACAGTCAGACAGCGTACAAGGCGGGACCACTTGCTCAGTGCTCTTTTCTTGAATTGGAATATTTTCTTTATCAACATCAAGTTTTATTTTATTTCTCAGTTTTCTTCGAGCTAATTTTCTATTCGATACTGACGATGGATGGCGGGACCCTGGCAGGACGCATAGTGGGTCGAAACAGTAATATGATGGACATAGAGATTTTTTTGACAAATCGTAGTTTTTTGGATGCCGATCGATAGTCCTTCAGAAGTATTTAAGTAAGCAAACATTGGACAAATTTAATAAAAATATTACAAAGGCTGCATATAATTTAATTCTTTGCATTTCCGGAATGAAAGATTAAAAAACAATATGTCAAAATAACCGTTTACGTTCGTTTTTTGTTCGTTTGTTTCTGTTTTGTGTCAATAAAAATGTATACAAACTTGAATCAATTTTAACTAATCTTTGTGAATTTTGTGTATTTTGGACCATTTATTTGTGGAACAGATGGGAGAATGGAATGCAGCGAACCCGAGGATATGAATTTAAGTGCTGTTGACGAGGCGTCTGCAGCCGCTGTGAATTCGTCGATTCTTGACTATTATAAGAAATTCGGACGTAAAAGGGATCTGGAGCAATATTTTTCATTGTCGACGGCGGACAGTGAGATGAGAGACGTATCTGGTGTTTTTTGGCGAAAAATGAAATCTCAGGATTCTTCTGATTCTGGTGATAAGAAAAGCGAGTCTTCAACTGAATTATGTAGGATATCGATCAAATGCAGTATCCCTGATCCTTGTGATTCTCAGGTATATATATTAATTTTAGCCTTGTTCATCCTGCTAACATTATAAATGTGATAGTTGGTATGTTTGTCACTCAATCACTCAGAAACTACTGAACGGATTTGGATGAAATTTGGTACACATATAGTTTATGTCCTGTGGCATAGGCTACTTTTAACCTGGAAAAATGTTAGGTTCCCGTGGAATTCTCATAAACTTAATATAATGCAGATAAAGTCATAGGTGGTCGCAAGTTACTTAAATAAATATTTAATTCACACTGTCACCAAGGTTTTTTATTTAAAAAAAAAAATTAGAAGATGTGATGTAGACATTTTAATTTAATTACATATCAACATGAGTGATGTTAAAATAAAGGTGTGAAAAACATTTTTGAAATTATATGAAATTGAGAGTGTTCTTTGAATGGTGAACCCAATGGCAAATACTGTCAGTATTTGCTCAAACAATGACTTTTTTTAGAAAGGTGGCGAATAAGCTCCCCGGGTAGTTAAGTAGCGACCATAGCCTATACAGGGTGTTAAAAGACCTTTTACAAAACCAAAGCCCACACATTAGAATGAAAATAAGAAACAGAAAAATAAATTGCAAGCAGTACCACGCAATGTATATGCAGTGTTCATATTGTTGGAGTATAGTGCCGAGTTGAAAGACATTATTTGTGTGTGCGTACTTACAGTGGACATACATTGAACGCTGACTGACTCTTGAAAGGTATTTTTTGTTATGAAATACATAAAATTTTGATAATATTTCCCTGGACAGAAATTAAATTAATAATCTTTAAAAATTATTTCCATTAAAAAAAAGAAAAATAAATGATTTTGACCTTCAATAACTTCATAACTTTTGATTTCTTAGGTATAGTCTAGAAGACAAAAATGGTCCTGATGATGGATAGAATAAATGTATTTTTTGCTGTGTCAAAGGTCTTTTTTAACACCCTGTAGTGTTTGTGATATCAGAGTATTTTCTACCATATCCCTTGCTTACCCTGACTCCATTCCCTACCCTATGAAGCTAAAGAACCTTACGCATCATTTGAAACAGCACAACCAAAAGTTATTTCACTGTGATAACTGTGATGTTCTTTCTATTGGGTGGAAGTTCTGCAACAGCTCACTTCTTTTTTATTAAGTTTCTACGTAGTTTTCATTTTAAAAAATTGTTACTGATTACATGCAATGTTATTATTATTTTATAAGCAAAAATACTATTATTACTAAAAATTCTTTAAAATAATATATTTTGTATGAAATATTCCATACAGTTATAGTAATAATAAGATCATTATTTTATCGTATATAATTTTGCTAAACCGAAATAAACTTTGTGTAACATGAAAGTACTTCATATAATTATAAGCTATTGACATTACTTTTCAGGATGAAAATTCAAAACCGAAGAGTGACACTGAATCTCCTCCTATTATTACAGATGTTGAATCAAGACATACTGATGATGAATTTGTGAATGAAGATACTCAGTCTCATAAATGTTAGTAAACATATTTTATTAGTATTATTAAATGAACATTCTTTATGTCGTTATAGAGTTAAACTGTATAGTTGTTAAAATTGTTATTTTTAATGTTTCACATTGTAGCAGAAAAATAAATAAAATTATTTTTTTGCATTTTCCCAGCCATGGATGCTTTATTGGATACATCAATAAACAAACCATTTTCACCAACTAGCAGTATTACATCACAGCGGAAATTAGAATGGGATTCATTAGCTGATGTTGGATATGCTAATGAAAATGACAGAAAAGGCTCTGCATCAAGCTTGAGTACCTTAGAAAGACTTGCATTAAAACAGCAATATTCCAATAATGACACTAAAAATGACACTGAAATTGGTCCTCCTACTGCTCATTCAACACCAGCTGACATCAATGTCAAATCTAAAACTAAAAAAGGAGCAACTAAAAAATCAACAAAAATTTATCAAAAAGATGTTGAAATTGTTGAAGTAAATATGCCTAAATATTCAGAGGCAAACCCTTCACAGTCTATAAATGTGAACTTGACCAAACATATCTCATTTAACATGGACAAAGATGGTGGAGTTTCTGTTGGGAATATCTCCAATAACATCAATATCTCACCTAAGGAAAATTTAATAGAAGATGAAGCAGTACAAAGCTCCAAAACAGATAATGAAATACAGACTTCTTCAAAAAAATCTAAAGAAAACTCGTCTGTTACTAATTTATCTAAACCAGAACATATTGATGGTAAGAAAAATCCTGTACTGATGAGTTACAATACTTTAAAAAAAAGATACAGAAGAAGAAATAGAAAATTAGCTCGAAGAAAACTGAGAAATAAAATAAAACTTGATGTTGATAAAGAAAATATTCCAATTCAAGAAAAGAGCACTGAACAAGTTTCTGCTGCTGAAAGTTTTGAATACATGCCTGGACATGTTTATAATCAAAATCAAAGGAATTTTGAATCAGCTAGCCCAAACAATACTGACAATAAATCAAGCTTAGAATCTAGTGGAGCTCACACAACAGAGTCAAGCAAGAGTTCAAAACATTCATTTTCTAAAGATTTAGAAAAAAGCATTGACCTTCTCAAAGTTGCCTTACAGAAACATCATAATGATTCTGAATTAAAAAATAAACTTGTAAAAGAAGTAGTACAAAGATTGTTAAAGTCGAAATACCGAGATGATGACAGTACAACAGAATTTCTATCAGGCCTAACCTTTAGTAGTAAGAAATTAAATTTAGGTGAAGGTTGTTTAACAACTAGCACTTCAGACAGCAATAACACTGATTTAAAGCCTAAGATTCATAGGCCTAAAAAGTCCATATTGAGACTAGATAAATTCAATTCAAATGTCTTAGCTTCTACATCACAGAGTGCTCCTAATTTACCGATCGTGTCTAGTAGCGAAAAGCCTGTGAAACGAAGTCCTCTTCACCAAATGACGTCCAATACCGAATCAGATGTATCTAGTGGAGGTAAAAACTCTTCTGAAACTGTATTTGCAAAAACCTCATCTGAAGAGTTGTACCTTAAATATGTAGAAGCGCTAAGAAGAGAAGAAGCATATAAACAACATTTAAAAGACAAAGAATTATTTCTAAAGCAAAAACTGGTTAGTTCTGAAAAAGCCTTTAAAGTAACACAACAATCTGATGTGAAAGTTAACAACAGACTTAAAGATCTGATAAAAGATTTAACTAGGAATAACTATGATGATGGTTCTGGGGATGCTAGTAAATTAGAAGGTGGTTCCACCTCAAACTTGGACATCCAAAGACTTGATGGTCTTCGTAAACAGAGAAGTCACTCAGTGTTTACACTTTCTTCAGGAAATTCCGATGATCACCGAAAAAGTAATCTAAAAAAGAGATTGCAGAATGAAATGAAGCACACAAAAACCAGTCATGGTCCAGAAGATAAACATTGTTGTTGTCAACATAATTTTGTTCCATCTAAAGTTGGTGTTGTGGATAGTTCAGTACAAGTTAATATAAGATCTAATGAACATACTATTGAAAACAAATCACATCACGACATGTGTTCACATAATAAAGAACCTTTTGAAAATGTTGCTCATGTGGTTCCAGATGATTTAACTGGGGACATAAAATATGTATGTCTGTGTAGTAAAATATCTTCTGTTACAGAGGATGTTCCAGAAAAAATGCTTATATATAAGTGCTCTGGTTTAACGAATAGAGCTGTTCAATTAGTAGATTCCACATCCAATACTATTGGTATTCAATGTATGGGTAGTCAACAGTCTTCTCCTAGGGCTGAGATAAAATGTCAACCTTCAACTTCCAAAATGCTAGATGATGGTAAACTGTCTCAAACATTTCACGGAGATAGCTTTAAAAATAAAGCTGATCTAACAAAAAATTCGAAGTCTTCTCAAACTAACATACCATTGGGTATATTTAGTGAACGCAATTCACCATCTACATCTACTGAAAGAAAAATGCGAGAAGTGTCACCATTCACTAAAAATATTAGATCGCAAAATTCAACGAAGGAGGTAACTCGATGTTGTCAGACTGAAATAAGTATAAACCCTAGAATACCTGACCCCTCTCTGACTGATGTAAACATGCTTTGTGATCAAGAATGTGTAAAATTGACAAGTGAAATCAAGCATGCTTCCACCGAAGCAGAACCACAGAAGAATGTCCATCACGATATTAAAACTAGCGAAAAGAGTACTCATATACAAAATGATCAAAATATAGTTGCTGCAAAAAATTCAAATAAAGAAATTCAATCAGTTTTGGAACTAAATAACAATGAAATAATTTCACATACTGTAGATTTACCTAATGTAGATCATTATTCCACTGATAATTTTAAAATTCCTATACAGGGTACTAATATGACTTTAATGGTGAGAATAGGTTCAACAACAAATGATGTTAAAACTCATGGTGTAGGGACTGATAAAACTGAGGTAACTGAAAAAGCGACATGTTTACCGGAAGAATGCTCTAAAGGTGTTCAGTCGCATGACATAGATATTTTTGCAAATATTGGTAAAGAATTTCAGAATTCTATTCAAAAGTCTCTAAAAGAGAGCCCGCGCATATATGAACCTTCTGAACCATTTGTCTTTAAAGCTTGTACAGCAGATAATATAATTAATAGACATACTTATCCAAAAAGTGTTCGAATAAGTCCTAAGCCATTTATGAGATCTAATACAGATACTGGAAGATTTGTTTCAACAAACATCGCCCAAACGGACAGTATTGAAAAAAATGATTATATATCTCCAGAAAATGTAACAAGGAAGTACAGTAAAGGAAGTAAAGCCAGTTCTGTAAAATCTAACACATCAAAGTCTAATGAACTAAAAGATAGCTCATCAGAGGCGCAAAGTAGAAAATCAAGTAGTGATGATCCAATAATGGACATTATAAATGATATAACGAAACGTTACACTAAAAAAGACATTGACAAAATTAAGCGAAAGAAATGTTATAGAGAAATTATGAATGTTTTGAATTACCTTTTGAATACTGAAGATGGAACTGATCATGATCCGCTTAAAATATCTGATAGTTCAAGTGCACGCGACACTGATGGTGATAATAGTAAAAACGTTAAACAGAGAGAAAAAATATTACTTAGATCGAAGAGAGTGAAGTCTGATTCAGATGAACTTACAAAAACCGAGGATGAACATGTTTTTGCGACAGATAAAGTTAATACTCCATGTGAATGTAGTAAAAATATTGAAGAACGGAGCAGTCGTCGTCAACTGCAAGATAAAGAAAAGGTTGAAATAGAACCGCCTAGCAAAGAAGACAAGGCTGTGCAATCGTCTATGGGGACTTCCAACTGTCGTAAGAATTATTATGAATCATCTGATATACAAGCCACCACCGAGATCCCTAGTACATCATCTGAATCCGCAACGTGTAAAGTTCTGAATAAAATCAAGAGGGAATGTGAAAAATATCACCAAAAACGTTGCAAGTGTCACGGCCTTAAAAAATGCGAGACTTCTAGTAGCACATCAGTGACATGCGACCAATGCAAACGAACACACCATTGTCCATGCAAAGGGCAAAGATGTCACAGATCGAAATCATCTGCTGATAAAATTAAAAAGAAGTGCTTGGCATACAACCTTATAATCCAGACTTCTGACAGCATGATTAGTGAAGAAGCGATGGTACACAATGAGCCAAAGGCGCTAAGAAATATCGTTGTCAAAGTGCCTCCAAAACGTAGACAATATGAAAACGCACCATTCAAGGAAATATACACTAAAATCGAAAAGACTTTACCTCATAGCAGTCCAAAAGACGACCCAAAAGTTTTGCGATCAGGTAGTTTACCTAACGAGTGGGAGATGTCTAGTATGGATAATTGTATGAAGAAGAATAATATCTATACAGTGAAAGAATATCTGGAAATAAACCGTCCCGACTTTGTGCAGAAGAGTTCTCATCGGCAGGAATCTTTGAAGCGCATCAGTGAAACGAGGTAAGGAGATTTTATTGTATTACCCTGTTTATCATATCTGTTGTAAAATTATTGAAATGTTTAAAAATAAAAGTGTTGAGATTTAATATTACTTATTATAATGGTATCATTAGTTAGATCAAACTCACCAAATTTTCTTACTTCAGAGACCCAGATCCTCGTGGCTCGTACGCTCCTTCTAATCTCAAAATGGTGGTTGTGCATACACCAAATTGTATGAGGCCAATGGATAATTGCAATATGTACTGTGGAGGTAGTTTTAGCATTTTAATTATAATAGAATAGTTTTTAACAGACGGAGAATAGCTGGTGTCATTTCCTGTACATAAAAGTGACCGCCATTTTGCAAAAAGAAGAACAGTAATTTTTTTTCTCATGATTTGTATTACTAAGAAGAATTTAATAGGTATCCTCTGTTTCACTCCAAAGTAGATGTAACTACGTCGCTATGATAGTGGAAGTTAAATTTAAGTTGTATTGCTTCATATGTCTTGTTTGCTAATATTCAGGAATTGGTATGATTCTCTGTTTGCTAATAATACATACACAGTGAATCACACATGCACTTGTTATAGGTATGCCAATGCACTATCAATGTAATCCCTACATGCAATGTACGCCAAGCGAAGTAACAAGAATTGGTGAGTTTTTACATAAGAATGGTATTATTATTTGAGTCACTAAAAGAGATTTATATTGATGCAGTAGCTTGATCTGCAACCGCACATTGAGCCACTAGTCGCGGTTGGCGGCTTGGCGAAATGGCAGTTTTTAGCTGGTGACACTGTCTGCTAGAGGAGTCCGTGTATATTGATCACTGCTCGAGCAGTCCGTTTATGACTGCTCTTAGATACACTTAATGCATTACTATTATAGAGCAAACCAACGTGCCGTTCAACGACAGCTGCTGTCAGCACAACTGGACCAACGGCCATCTTTGACGTCGTTCAGTGAAACCGACCTGCGGCGACTGGCTGAAGACCTTGGCATGGAAATTCGTAGGAAGAAAAGTGAGTTCATGTTCTAAGCCATACTTATATTAGAAATGAGGCTGTCAGTTCACTCTTAAACCTCTGCAACGACATATACGTAATTTGGTGTAGAGATAGTCTAGGAAGGACATACTCGTAGAATAGTTTTTATTCCAGAAATCATCCTTTTAAGGGGTTATTTGTTGATTTTAGTTACTAGTTCATAATAAAACCAATTTCATATTGTAAACAATATATTCTGTATATTTGAATAGCAATAGTGACCCGCCCTCGCTTCGCTTCGGTAGACTATAGTTTTTGTTCTCCGGCACGTATAATACATATAAACATTCCTATTAAATCATTATCTATTGTGCTGAAATCCCTTGCATAGTTTAAAAATCTACATATTGTTTAGTTAGCGCCGAAAGTACACACCAATAATTTTGTTACAATTTCATATTTTCAGTAACAAAGTGGCTTTTAGGGTTACTTAAAAAAAACTATGTATCTATTTATCCTAAAGTAGCTATCTTCATTACTTGCACATTATAAATAGTTTGTTAATTAAAAAAAAATGGGGTCTTCAGATGCCTCTTCGCGCTGTTCTCGGTGGTTCAAGGAGGTGTAACGCCTTGTCTAGAAATTAAAAAAGATCATTTTATAACTTAGAATAAATTTTTGAAAACAACCTTTTGTATTCATCATTTGGTTGCCAGCAAGGCCATCTTCTCAGCCCCGCTATTTTTAGTTTGGCAAAACAACCCATTATCGATTCGCTAAATTCAGATTTTTAGTTGTGGTACCTTGATGACGGAACTATCGTTGGCGATATTTAAACCGTTCTTTCAGATTTTCCCGTCATTATCGGTAAATTCAAAAGTACTGGCCTTGGATCAGCCTTACCATTCAACGTGGCAATTCTGCCACCCTTCCCTACGGTGGCACTAGGGGTGACATATTTTTTATTTTGTATTAGGATATTATTTGTACCTAGGTAGGTTAAGATAATTTGGGTTCAAATTTAAGTTATTTGTGGAATAATAAGTTATTCGATCTGTTCATGTTTTTAAACAAATAATTAGTATAAGCAAATAATTTGGTGTGTGATATGAGAATATGATAATAATAAATTATTGACGGAAAAAACTAAGAATTTAATATTGTTGTAAGTATAAATACTTTTTTTTTACCTCACTTTTGTCCCTTATTTGTTACAGTTGCTCCAAAATTTATAAGTGAACGCGAAATGAAAAAGCATTCTGAGAAAATATACAAGTCGTTACCGGAAGTTGTTCAAAAAAAGGAGGAAGCGAAAAAGGAGAGTATCAAAAAAACTAACCTTTTGATGGCAAATATATTTAAAAAGGTAATCCTTTTTTTTGCCGCTTATTCTATTACAATATTTATTTTTTATTATTTAGAAATAAATATACAGAAAAATTAAAAAGATTTTCGTTTCTGATCGGTAATAATACGTCTTTCAATCTTGACCCGCCCGACTTCCAAATCATGAACCAGATATTATTTTACTTTTTAGTTCCATTTTCGATTTTGAAATCGGTTTTATTTTTTGTTTCAAAAATTTTTTTCTAGTTAAATTTATTTTAAATTTGTACATCATGCAGTAAAAATGCTTAAAAATAAAAAAAAATATAACAAGGAAATTGTGTTAATAAGGATATAATATACCTTTTTATTTTCAATGCTTTATGCATGCAATGCAATAGATCATGTTATAGATAAAATTAGAATAGTTAAACTTTTTTAATTTCTTGACGTTACAAAAAATGTTGGTAAACTAATAGGGAAGCCCTAAGTCCATGGGCAAAACTCCCATTAAATTAAATGGTAAAATTATATCACACGAAGGTGGCAAAATATGTCACGTCACCTTCACTTAACATCAGGTGGGGTGGAGTCATTTGTCGGACCTATCTATAAAAAAAAGAAAAAAAATCAAATATGATTGTTCAGAAAATGTCAAGTTTGTTTCCAGGGATACGCACATTTAAGCTAAAATCTACCTTATTGTTTTGAAATGGTTGTAACAAAATACGCTTGTGGTCGTTCAGGAATCAGCTAAAATAACATTATATAAGATAATCAATTACACATTAATGGGATATATTAATATTATGACAAACTAATATACAATTTTATTATCAGATAAATTAATGAGAAAAATAAAAACTAGACTGGACAAAATTCGCGGCATGACCTACTAAACCCAAAACCTAGCACAACAACTTATCTATTATCGAACAGACAATAGATCAATAATCGATCAGTCGCATTAACTATTTATCGAAAAACTATTTGAGATTGATTTATTAAACTATTATTTATTTTTTGGAACAATTTCAGTATAAATATTTAATTTTGCTCAGTATTTTACAATACCTGAATAGTTTAAAGCTTAATGCTTTAACGTTTGGTAGGTGCCTAAGTTGTTTTACTACAGGCTTGTTTTTTTATCAACAATTTACCTTACCTTTCCAATGTTTGCAATTTTTTACAGTTTTTTTTATAAATAAATATTACGAAAAAATCCTAAGAAAATAAAGCCACGGGTGGCTAAAGGATTTTACGTGTTCACATTTTTGTAGGTTTTACTTCTATCGCATGTAAACAGCACATGTCCGTTTTTGTTTTTCTGTGATCAATGAAAGAAGCGTAGGAAACCGATCACTACATATGGTAATACCGAGCGTTTATTGTTCGGTATTACTATATTTAATGATAAAATAAAAACCTCCAATGAAATCCACATAGAATAAGTTGCGAGTAGAAATTAAATTAAACAATTGTTTGTTTCAGAATCTTCAGAGGAAAACTCTCCGTGGATCAGTGAATCTGTCAAACTACAGTACGGTCATAAAAATATGACGAAAATCCAAAATTATGATTAATGTTAACCAAAACAAACTGTGACAAACAATGTGTTCAATATTTATGCATGCTTGATTATCGAAGCCAACTCAAGATTTTTACAATGCTTGTTGATTTTGCTGTTTAATGACTATTTTTCATTGAAATAAAATGTATTAAAATGATTGGTTTTGGTTCTTATTCCTTCTGCATACAAATATTTTCATGTGAGGAGCTCGATGGTGCAGCCGTTAGTGTGTTCCTCAGACCCATCAAGCACGTATTTTGACAGCTCTGGAACCGTATCCACATCGTCAAATTTTCTTTCATAGGCTTTTTGACGATTCGATACAATTACGCTGTCAAAATTCATACTTGGGCCTGGGTGACCAAAAAATTATTATCGCGAATTCCTCCGTGCTTCAGAAGGCACGTCAAGTTATTGGTCCCGGCTGCATCTGCAGTCTTGGCCTGCTCTGCGTATTCTATAGTGGGAAGATTATTTGCTGACCCGTGCCCATTTCGCTGCGCGGGAAACATGCTTAACACACGGTTCGGGGTTCATTGCTCCATACCTATGTCGTAAATTATATGCAGTAAAAGGGAGAAGTCTTGTTTTAAACATATGAGCGGAATTTACTTATTTTAATAAGAATTTACATTTTTTGCTCTATATGACCAATAAACATGACCTAACGATTAATTTATTTTTCATAAAAAACTATTTTTGTGACAAATATAAAACTTAATTATGCTATCGCTGACTTTTCTGTAGGCATTATAGGTATCAAGTGCTACAACTACTCTAGACTTCGATCATAAAGTTTTCGTTCGACCGTTTTTCGGCTGCCACGAAAACTTAGATTAAAACAAAAAGGGTAGATACGGCACTAGCCTCACAAAAGTGATTCGCATAAATTGTGGCCCAAGACCACAATCGCTTTAGTCACAGCTTGACATGCAAACGACATACATGTGAACGCCAAAAAGAAATATTGCTAATATTTTGTGTTTATATGATAAAACAATGCCTAAGTGTGTTTTTAAAAATTGCTCAAATTGCTCAAGCACTAAAAATAAAACCCACGGCATCACTTTTCATTCGTAAGCACTATAAAATATATTTTTTCATAAAAAAATGCTGTTTGTTTTGAATCTTATTCGGTAGTGTCGTCGAGTACTGGTCACGTGATTGGTCGGTAGTGCAGGACGCGCCGTCCCGTTCGCGCTGCCGTTGAAACTTAAATTGCTGTTTCGTTCGTTCGATTGTATCTTTACAAACAGGTGGATGTGTGAGTGTTGCATATGTAGTAAAGTGGCATCAGTTTTTGTTTGATGCAAGTATGAGCGTACCGTATCTACCCTTTTTGTTTTAATCTAAGCACGAAAAAGTGTTTTAATTTTTCGGATCAATATAGTCTATGACACTCGCAAATAACATGGCTTTCTATAAGTAAAAGAATTTATGTTTAGTAGATCTAGAGACTACCCAACTTAATAAACGATATTGAATATACAACGCAATGATGAAAATTAATAGTCACCTGTAATGCATACTGTAGGTATAAGGTCTTAATTAAAACGCATGCGACAAAGAGTTATGACAGTTCGAAATGCAAGATCGTAAAATTTTACGACTTATTGCTATATGGGGAAGAATAAAGACTTCTTTGACTCTATGCGCAATTCTAAATGTGCTGTTAGCAATGTAGCAGGTACGGACCGCGAGGAACAGAGACGGCTATACCGACCATGCAGTTGAATATACCAAAAAAATTCTATTAAATCAGTTTATAGTATGTAAGTATGAGAACAAAATTTGCTTCAAATGCGATAAAATAAATTAACAAACATTGATTAGACGCCTGTCGAAAAAACAACGCTTTACTACTATAAGTATTTTTTTCGCATTTTTTCACTGAGCTCTGCGGCATCTTGACGTTTCAACGGTCCGCGCGTGACTGTTAACCAAGAAGTGCTTGAGCTGTGTTCAAGCACTTCCTGATTGGGACACATTTTAAGTGCACGTGGTGTGCAACGTCACAAACTTTACTTCTTTATAATATTGGTATAAATAAATATTAACTGGTCTCTTTTTCTTAAATAGGCTGATGATGATGATGATTATTTCATCATAATCATCATCATCATCAGCCTATTAATGTCCCCACTGCTGGGGCACAATACTTCCTCATGGATGGAATAGGGAAATGGGGCCATGACATGACTCACCACGCAGGCCCAGTGCGGATTGGTGGGTGCTAACGACTGCAGATGCAGCCGGGACTAATGTGCCTTCCGAAGCACGGAGGATCTCAGGATTGTAAATATTTGGTCACCCATTCAATTACCGACCATTGCGAAAGTTGCTTAACTTCAACAGCAGTCGAATGCGGTACTCACTTGCGCCATCGAGCTAATTCTGGGTTATCCACATTTACTTAGTTTCAAAGTAGAGAGCTTGTGCTATGGATACTATATGAGTCTATTTATAATCAACACAACAAATACCCTTATCGTGTTTCAAAGTTCAAATACATTGGAGCAGAATAGATCGCTTCCGTGCAGTTGCATCATGCAAGTGATCGACACTGAAAATTTTACCACGAATTCATACTTATTATAAAATGCGAAGGTGTGATTTGCCTGTCTGTTACCTTTTCACGCTAAAACCACTAAACCGATTGAGCTGAATTTCTGTATAGAGATTGTTGGAGCCCCGGGAAAGGTCATAGAAGTTTTTTATCCCAGAAATCACCCTTTGGGAAAAATAGGCTATTTGGCAAGTTTTAGAAAACGATTTCAAGTTAATTAACTAATGTTTATGGAGTCCATAAAAAGAGGATATTTTAAATTCTGTTGTTGTAATTCAGTAAAAAACTCTAAATTAAAAATTAAGTTTTCAGCGAAGACGTTTCTCTGGACATTAGCGGCTTAGATTAAAACAAAAAGGGTAGATACGGTACGCTCATACTTGCATCAAACAAAAACTGATCCCACAGCAGCGCGAACGGGACGGCGAGATCCGCGTCACTGCATTACCGACCCGAACGAAACAGCACGTTAAGTTTCAACGGCAGCGCGAACGAGACGACGAGATCCGCGTCACTGCACTACCGACCAATCACGCGACCAGTACTCAACGTCACTACCGAATAAGATTCAAAACAAACAGCAATTTTTATGAAAAATTATATTTTATAGTACTTACGAATGAAAATGATGCCATGGATTATATTTTTAGTTTTTGAGCAATTTAAGCCCTTTTTAGAAACACACTTAGGCATTGTTTTATCATATAAACACAAAATGGACGTAGTTACGCGAAAACGTTCCAACCCACAAGTCACTCGAAAATGAGTTACCATAACCAGGGTACTATTTTTGACATATTATATCATGTGCACACAAAGATGCTAGTATTTTTAGATTAGTTTCATCAATAAAGTTTAACCCAAATGTTCCAACCCACCATTATGCCAAGGACGTGTACTCAAAATAAAGTAAAAACATTACATGCATACTGAAACATATTGTTAAAAACTCTTAATAGAATAACATATCGTTATAATGTTCCACTTGTCTTGGAACATTATACTAAATTCATAAAACGCACATTTAATGGTTTCTTAAATGATCCATGTGGGTTGGAACGTTTTTGCAAAATCTTTACACCTTTTTATTTCTGCAAAAATGTTCCATGTAATTTGAAACCTTTTAGATTAATCCATACTGTTTTTTTAAGCTGCGAACACTGTTCTAAATAAATTGAAATCTTTTATTATAATATATTATTTTCTAATTTTTTGCTATAAACAATCCACATATACTTGATCCATTTTTGCTATTAAATATGTTCTAGAGAAAAAGATATTTTTTACCAAAATAAATAACTATGGTATATTTCGACGTAGTAACGTGAAAATGTTCCAACCCACAGCAACCCCAATTTGAGATAAACGCAACTTACACACTTTTTCCCTGTAATTATTTCAGGCAAATACTATTGGTTTAACTATGGAATGCCAAACTGTTTATTGAATGATATGCATATTTTTTGTAAATACATAATACAAGGGGCATATAAATAGATAAAACGAGTTTGAAATGTTTTTGCTAAATTAATTTTGTATGAACCTTGTTATATAGCAATTATGCATAAACTTTCCAAAACGAATTTAAGTGTATTATTTTATAAAAATAAACCAAAAAGAAATATGTAAAATAATAAATAACAATGAGGAACATACAAAAACAACAAAAAAAATATTTGAAAATGTATTAGAAAAAAATAGAACGTGATCTTTTGAGCTTAGAACCTATGCCAAAAATTTGCTGATATGGTTCCAAAAGTTATCAAAAACTTATATTATAAACATTCAATTTTCATCATCGTATTCTATGATCTCGAAGTCCGGAACTCCACCAAACCCATCAACATCATCAGTGCTTCTTCAAAACTTTGAAGCGTTCTATAAAATTGAAGGCAATCCTCGGGTATATAGTGGTACATGGATTGCAAGTCCACTAATTTCGCTGGAGCAATCGGTTTGTCGTTAGGCCACAATAAGCAAAAATCAGATTCTTTTATGTATTGCAGTTCTCGTTTTATTCTTTTATCAATTTTCAACTCATTGAAATCGTCTTCGATCGTAGACCGCATAAAAATAGAAAACATTTTATCTTTATCCAACTTAATTTCTTTTGTATGTAGCCAACTAACTTTAGATGAGTCTGTAAACTTCTTCCTATTGATCTTCTTTTCCAGTTTAGTTGTACTAAAAAAATCAGTCTTTGTCATTTTGTAAATTTGAAGAGGTTTAACTTTTTTACTTAGTTCTACAATAGTGGTATCCATAGTGCATCTAATGATACTGGGCATTGTTATGTACTGGTAGAAGGAGAGGTAGGAAGAGGTGCACAGGAAGTGAATTGCCTTCAATTTTATAGAACGCTTCAAAGTTCTGAAGAAGCACTGATGATGTTGATGGGTTTGGTGGAGTTCCGGACTTCGAGATCATAGAATACGATGATGAAAATTGAATGTTTATAATATAAGTTTTTGATAACTTTTGGAACCATAGCAGCAAATTGGCATAGGTTCTAAGCTCAAAAGATCACGTTCTATTTTTTTTGTAATACATTTTCAATTTTTTTTTGTTGTTTTTGTATGTTCCTCATTGTTATTTATTATTTTACATATTTATTTTAGATATATTTATAAAATAATACACTTAAATTCGTTCTGGAACGTTTATGCATAATTGCTATTTAACAAGGTTCATACAAAATTAAATTTAGCGAAAACGTTTCAAACTCGTTTTACCTATTTATATGCCCCTTGTATTATGTTTTTACAAAAAATATGCATATCATTCAATAACCAGTTTGGCATTCCACAGTAACACCAATAGTATTTGCCTGAAATAATTACAGGGAAAAAGTGTACCGCTAAAACACAAAATT